TGAGTGGAAGGGCTAGGAGTTGAACCCAAGCAGTCTGGCTTTAGGACCGGTGGCCTCAGCAGTGTGTCTCATTGCCCCAGTCATAGATTTCAATGTACTTTGTCCATCCTCTCCCTCTCCTTTCAGAAGCAGAGCTCCTCGCCTTTGCATCCACTTGGCTTAGCACAGTCCAGTGAGTGAACGAGTGAATGAGAAAGGGGGAAACTGCCCACAATCCAACTACCTGAGCACAATAATTATAATAATTTTGACAGATCTTCAGACCATGGGTCAGGAATGGCTCCTGCCAGTCCTGTCATCATCTTTGTGAGGATAGAGCACCTGGCTGTGCCAACACACCTGGGGCAAGGGACCGGGGAGGTGCCTCATCCCAGCGCATGGCTTTTGTTTGGCCTCTGCCAGGCTCTGTCTTGATCTGGCCCTTACTCACGCCCTTTCTGTCTCTCTGAGCCTCCTTGTCGCTGTCTGCCTGTCTGATCCTCTTCTTTGTTCTCATCTGTGCCTCCAGACTCTTACCAAAACCAGTGGTGTTTAAGGATATGAGATCGAAATTTTACTTCCTACTCACGATTAGGCAGTGCGAAACAAACACCAGCAGAGCTGGCAAGATGCGGAGGCAGGTGGTTCTCTTGGGATCCTAAAAAGCTGGAATTCTAGGTTCTCCCTGATCCCTGTAATGGCTGCTCTTTGCAGTGATGGTGCCAGGGGTGTAAGGTCCCCCAAAGTTTCCATTAGTTCCAAATAAACATATAACATGGCTAAACATGATGTGTTTGCTATGAAAACACAGCAACACATAATTCCCTAGACCCCATTACACCCACTGCCCTTGAGCCTTCCATCCCCCCATGAACAAACTCTGGAGCCTCCAGATCTCAGAGAGGGATCCACCTGCTCTCTCTGTTTTGCTCATCATCTTCCCTTTACAACTAGTGGGGCTAGAAGGCTTGGGTCATTCGTTCACTCATTCATGCATTCCTCGTCCCAGGTACACATGGACAGCTATCTATCACATGTTAGATGACAATACAAAGCAGTAGAAGGGACCCATGAGACAGGGTATCAGTCTCAAGGAAGTTCAGAGGCAAGCTGAAGAAACACCTGGCTGGGCGGAAAGTTACATGACAGTGCGTGGGTTAACCGTCAGCACGTTGGCAGCAGCATCTGTCAGAGGTGGCTCTGATGTGTCACAGGACAAATATCAGGAACTGAGTCCATGGGCTGGAGGGATCCTGTGGGCTGGAGGGAGGAAGTCCAGCTCTGTGGAAGGGTGGCTCTGCACTGAGGTGAGGGATGAGTAGCAGACGGACAACTGGCCAGTAGGGGCAGGCACCCCAGGCGGAGGATGGGCATGGAGCTGGGCCAGCAGAACCAGAAGCACAGCCCGGGCCTCTGTGAGGAGTGGCTCAGGCAGCATATGGCTGACTGGCTTGCCCAGGTCAGACCATGAGTGTGATGCTGAGTGTCAGGGGTGCGCACAAACTTAAAACGAAGTGCCTGGAAACCCACGTGTCGTACACAGTATACAAACCAGTGTGGGAGAAAATCACTCGCAGAAAATTTGTAAGGTTTATTCAGTCAGAAAACATGACAGACTGATGTGGTTCACAAGTGATCAGATGTGGGTGACCGCACTGGGGCACCCACCTGCCACAGTGGGATGGAGGCTGAAGGCCCAGTGTCTTCCAGTGCCAGGGTCTCCTTCAGAGGTGACCCCAGACCTCACCTATGCTGTACCTCTGCAAGATCCCTCCAGTCTCCGGCCCTGTGCTGGAGAGACTCAGTCTTGGTTTTACAGAGGACAAGGTGGCAACATAGGCTGACCTGGGCAGGTGTCCCCTGTGTCAGTCTCTTCCATAGCCGGCCAGTCCTGACAGACCCCGGACCACTTCGGTAGCCCAGAGATGAGTGCGGCCTACTTCACACAGTGGCCAAGTGCTGGGACTGTCCTCTATCCCACCAGAGAACAATCAATTCCAAGAGTAGTTTTCCAGCCCAGCTTGAATTCTGCCAGTCCAGTAAATATTTACAAGTGGGATCCGCAGTCCCCACATCGCTGACCGCTGACCGCCTCCTAGAGCCTTGCCCAGGCAGCTTCACCCTCTTCCCCGCCCTCCTATCCTCCTCACAGGCTGCAGCTGCACCCTCTCCTCACTTTCTGATGTCTCTGTCGGTGCTCTCATCGTGGGTATGCCACCTCCGTGCACCTCTCTCCGCTCTCCCCCACCCCAGGTGTCTGGTCCCCAGCCTCCTGGGACTGTCCCCTTGCTGGCTGCCTCCCATGGTGGCTCTTTGGGAAGAGCTTTCAATCAGGTGGGAAGCGAAGGTGAAGCTCTTACTGGGAGGAGCACTCAGAAGGCTGAGCAGCAGAGCTTTCTGCCCAGACCAGGCCAGCCAAGAAGAGGAACTGTCTGCAGCACAATAACACAAGAATAAACTCTGTATTTTGTGTACTCACACCTGTAAACCTAGTTTTGCCCACCCCTGTGTGTACATATATATGTGCACCTAAGTTTATCTATGAGGCATCTTTGTATGAATATATGGATATACACTCATTATTGGCTGAATGGATTTTTTCCTATTCTTCTATCTAATCTCATCCACGTCAGCCTGTTTTGGGTTGCAAAGTCCTGGGTCTGGGGAATAAGACCTTGGCAGGGGGGATGAGCAGCCAGCAGCTCTGAGCGGGTAGGATCCCTAAGCACCACAAGTATTCAGGTGGAGGCAGGACAACCACTTAGTGTTCAGGGCATTGCACCATCATATGAGAAGTGAAATCAGGTGACCTCTGTAATTCCAGTGAATCTGATTCCAGACCTCTTTGCATAGTAATGCAGACATAATGACACGGCTGCTGCGGCGGCTGGAAAGGTGCGGTGCGTGGGGCGATGCGGCCTCGGTGCTCACTGGTGTGGACTCTGGTCAGACACTGGGCTGCATAACTTAATAACTGTGTGCTCCTGGGCACATCTTCCAACCTTTCCATGCCTCAGTTACAGGACATCTGTAACGTGAGGATGACAAGAGTACCTGTGAAGGACTGTGGTGAGAGTGAAAGAGCACATGGGAAGCTCTTCGTGTGTGACATGTGGGAAGTGCACCATCAGCACTGGCGTTGGTCGTTAAGTCGTCATTGTGGTTCTTGTTGGAGGACCCAGTCTGAAACACACGGGTCCTCTGATGACTCATCTGGCTCCGTGGGGTCAGTCTAACTGTCTGCCCAGCTTCCAGCCTGCTCCTGCCCTAAGATTCCCCGCATGGGGGGCCGTGCACACACCCTCGAAGCTCCATCCCACAGACAGCTCGACTGGACATCGGGACAATGTGGGCCAGGACCCACTCCCATTCCGATAGCTTTAGCCTCAGCCAGCGTCCCCCCAGCTGGGCCCTTGGAAGGGACAGATTGTCCAAGCCCAGATTCTGAGGTGTCATTGCTTTCTGGCCCAGCCAGGGACACTCTGCTTTATTTTCTAAGCTAACCGGCATCTGAGCTATGTTCCCGTGCTGTAATCTAGGAAGAATGAGAAGTCGGGCTGGCCTCGGCTCAGCTGCCTGCTTTCTGTGTTGTGCAAATGAAACTTATGCAAACAAAGCAGCCATTTCTGCTCCTACTCACTTTAACTGGGCTTCCTTCCTAAGAACAGGGCCAGGCTTCCTTTTCAGTCGTGTTCTGGGATGAGTCCCTTGCAAGGCCCAGGCTGTCCTCTCTACTCCTGAGACCACGACCTATTTGACCTTGTCTCCACACAGCAAGGGGTTGGGAAGTTCTCCTTAGCCCATTGACAACGGCTCGGCCTGGACCACACGCAGGAAGCCGCAAAATAAAGTCTGAGAACTTGGAAGGGATTGTCAGATCCAACCCCATCTTTACCAAGGTGAGAAAATAGAAAATGAGAGGAAAATAGTCCCACTGTTAAATTACAGTGGCTGAGAAGGACAAGCAACCCCCACTGAAAATAAAATAAAATAAAAAAGTCACTGCAGCGTAGTCTCAATTGTTCCTAAGTTTTGCCTTTTTATATAAGAGTTTTTTGAGAGGGCTGGGAATCCCCATGCAGTGCTTTTTCTGGGAAGGACATATTATTTAACAGATTTCATCTTTTGTAGGAGGGGAGAACTTGGCATCCCCAAGTTGCTATGTCTCTGTTCTTAGACTTGGGAAGAAAGGACCCCTGAGAGGCCTCATCTCTCTCTCGGGAGGGTCTTTGCGGGAGAGGAGTGTGAGCGGGGGAAATGGGGAGCGAGAAGCCGAGCTCCCAGAAGAGGAAGGGTGGCTCCTTTGGCTGCCTTTAAGAGGCCTCCGGCCCTTCCCCGGCCTCATAAACCTGGAACCCAAGAGAACCTGAAACACGTAAGAACTGAGATGCTGACTCAGGAAGAGTTAGAGGCCCATTTACATACTATTTCTAAAGTGATTGAGCTATATGTGGCTTGATGGTAGTAAGAACAGTCTTTGTTTTCAACCCACTAACCTCACTGTTTTCAACCCACTAACACTGATGTTTGCTTGAGCACTTACTGTTAATCAAACTTGCAATGATGATCTTCCTGTGTTTCTCACACTAAGTACCAGTAACTCAAAGATGGAGCCAGCCTGTAGCCCCTTCCCTGAAGAAAGGTCAGGCCTGAGGCTTGAGTGTAGGGGATGTTTAGAAGACATCACCAAAAGATAAGCCCATGGGTGCCCCTGATTTGGACAGAGAACCTGCCTCCTAACCTAGGCCCATCGTGCCGTGCCTGCTTGCATGACCTATTTTCTAGCTACAAATGGCTAGCATTACCTGTTCTGAACATCTGGCATTACCTGCTGCTAAGTCACCTTCCCTCTGGCTTCAAACAGCTGGAGGGCCCCACCCCCACTCCACCTCCAATCCATCTGGGATCCCTCCCTCCTCTTTTTTCATTTTGGAAAGATCTGGAGGTACCAGATCCACAAGTTCTGATGTCTTTAAAAGGACCAGCCCGAGAAATAAGGCTCATTTGAGAGCTGCGACATTCATCTTGACTGCAGTGGAAGTCTCGCAGCCAGTCTCGTTTTGGCCTCCAGCTGGGCACCATGAAGGCTGCAGTCCCCCTGATACTGGCCATGCTCTGCGGCCTGGCCTGGGCCGGTAAGTCACTGTCTGGAGGAGGTAAAACGGGTCCTGCAGAAAGAAGAAGAGATTTGGGGAACTTGGTGGAGGGTGAGAGTAGTGGGACAAGGAAGGATCAGCTCTGTCCCAAATTCATAGAGCACCTTAGGCCTGTCCTTGTCTGAGGTGCAGGAGTCCCCTCCAGAGCAGCCTGAACTGTGAAGGGGCTGATGAGCTGATACTGTGGAAGCCACCTCTTGGCAGCTTGGAAGGCCAGCCCCGAACATCCCTTAGTCCAGCCTGACTTTTCATCTCACCAGGGTTTTGGTTTTTGGAGTCATTGTGTGATATAAAGCTGGGGCAGCGGCCTGCTGGGTGGGAGCGGCCTGCCTGCCTGGGGATGGGTGAGGTTGTCTTGAGTGCGACCTTTCTCTGGGTAAAGCCGTGGGAGAAGGGCAGGCTCAGGGGAAACCTGGAAGGAAGAGCCCCTGACCAGGAGGTAACTTATGTGCTCTCTGGGGCTATGCAAGTGGTTGGAGGAATCGGCCTTGTCCCAGTGTTAGAGGAACTAACACACAGAGAAGGGCCCTGGCCCACAGCTACTAGCGGTGCCGGTGGCGGTGCCGAGATGGGATGGGAACACTTTCCTGTTTACTCACCATGCAAAACTCGATGCCAGGGTGTTAGCTATGGTTAATGATGAGTAAAAATGAGTGTCAAGGGAGGGAGCGGAGTTGAGGTGTGTGGGGAGGATGCTGGTCTGCCTGGAGGAGAAAGAATCAGAGCTTGATACCCATCCCTCCCAAACTAGATGGTTCCTGTATAGAAAGGACTGTTGTAAGGACTCAATAAGATAATGTATAAAAAGCACTCTACACAGGATGAGACCTCAATGAATTGGGGCTTTGATTAAGATTATAAATATTCTAGGAGGAATTTACATTTGGAGTCTTTTCCAAGTAGGTTGTGGATAAGAGACCCCTAACGGGATTCCCAGGTGGAAAGCCTTTGGAGAGGAAGCTGTTCCCAGGCCTCCCAGCCCTGGAGGGGATCACGAACCTGCGCTCTGCGATTACTGCAGGGCAGTCGGGAATCAGCTCTGACAGGGCCTTAGGTGGCCCAGGGCCAGTGGTAGAGAATGAGAGAGGACATGGCAACACCTAGCTCAGTGGGGAGGAGTGGCCACCAGGTTGACACATCCCAGCCTCAGGGGAGGACAGCAACTGTAAACTTTTGGTCCCTGGGTGGGGGTCGGGGTGGGGAAGGCAGGCATCCCTGAGGCCAGAGGCAGCAGGGCCGGTGGAGCCCCGACCCCTGGGGGTGGTGATCTGAGCCGGCTCTGGGGTTGACGGGGGAGTGAGGTTCAGTGGGCGCTGCTGCTTCTTTCCTAAGGCGGGAGGGAAGGGGCTGTGCTCTTGTCTGTCCTATTTCAACATCTCAGAACTTCGATGCAAGAATATGAATCATATGGAGGAGTCATTGACTGAGGCAGAAAACTGGTCCTAAAAATGAATCTTTTTGGTTGACTAAGTCTCCATGGAAACAACATCTGGGTCCCTGGAGAGGCACAGATATAGGTGCTCTAACCATCAGAGGGTCTCAGCACTGGTTTACAGAAACACCCAGGCTCCCTTGGTGGGCAGTACGGATAGGGAGTGAGCATTATAGCATAGTGACATCTTGGAGGGCGAAGAGAAATTTAGTGTTTCATCAGGGGTGGTAGAGTTCATGGGGAACGGAGGGACAATCTGAGCCCAAGAGAAGAAAGGCAGGGTCAGAGATGGGGCGGAGGGCTGGGGGTGGGGACAGATGGTGGCTGGAGCAGGGATTCAGGGGCCTGGCATCAGGCGGTACCCTGGTGTGAGTCTCAGGACGGATAGGCCTCTGAGTGTTCCCAGAACAGCACAGCGAGGGGCCTCTCCCAAGGCCCTAAAATCCCAAGGTCCACCGGGTTTGCAGAGAAGTGCGAAGGATCCCTGGCCCAGGCTTCTTACTGGGGACAAAGTTCTTGAACACAGATGAAAAAGTCCACTCCCACTGGGACTGTGGGGGTGTTCTCCCAAACGCTACAGAGCTGACTATTCACTTGCAGCCCGTCTCAACCGGTGCCAGCTGCTGGAATGAAGTGAATTCTTTCCTTGGACTCTGCTGATCTGGCCCATTAAAAACTTGCCCTGTTTTGTCTGAATTCTCTCCCTTTGGATTCTGGGTGTACTGCCAGGCTGGCTGGGCAGGCAGCTGACAGAACCTTCCTCCCGGGCTAAAAATTTCTCCTTAAGGTCTCTGCATTCAGGTTCTAAGGGAGCACCATTTAAGATTCAAGAGGAGTTCCCCTGGGCCTGAAGTGACAGGGACCTTGGGCCTGGTTTTTCTTAGGGGCAATTCACTGGGTCAGAGGCCTGTCTCCCTGGAGGCTCTCTACACAATGTGAAGTTGCCTCAGGACCTGGGTTAAACTTGATCTGACACCTCTTGGATGTAAAGAAAACAGACGTATAATGATGATGTCAGCTAGGAAACTGTCAGCAACACAAATGGGCTGGCACCCAGGCCCAAGGGATGGCCTGCCTGAAAGCCAGGGAGGGAGTCAGCTGGACAAGCGCGTTGGCAGCGGGGAAGGCTGCTCCAGCCAGTCTGAATTCTTGCTGCCTCGAAGGCGGGCGTAGAATATTGCCACTGTTTATTTATCTAACATACACTTATATGGTGCTATTCTGTGTCATGCACTGTACTAAGTGCTTTACAAATATTAACTCATTTAATGCTTGTAAATATTCTATGAGATGGGCTCCATTATTATCACACTTTTACAGATAAGGAACTGAGGCACAGAAGGTCGAATAACCTGCCCAAGGTCACATAGCTAGAAAACAGCAGAACCAGAATTCTAGCCCAAGCAGTTTGGTGCCAGGATCCAGGTTCTTGATGTCCCTGCTGTCACCCTCATTAGCACAGTATGAACCCTAATCCCAGCATACAAAGCAGTAACTAAACCCATATTCCTAATACTCACCTTGGCCCCAAACCCAAGCTAAACTGAGATACTATACCCGCATGGAATCACAGAGCCAAACCCCAAATCTAATCTAAGGCAAAACTGGCTTAATTTTTCCTCACCTAACCCTGACACATTCCGCAACCCGGACGATGATCTTAAACCTGCCCCCATTCTTTACCCAAAAACGAATATAAAGTTGTTACTTTATCAATAAATTTAACTCAAGCTCATATTCGAACTGTAGCTCTTCATCTAAACCTAACTAACCCCAACCCAGGCCTAAATTAGGTTTCAGTTTCCTCATTCACACAAATTCCGATGCTGACAGTAATTCCGACTCTGATCTTGACGTTCTCAGTAGCCCACAGCCTAACCCTGACTAACCCCAGCACTCGCTATATCCAAACCTCAGGAACCTCAAATGGAAAGAAAGGCCCTGTTATCACCCTTAAACGCCCAGAGTGGAAGAAGGGGCCCCCACAGCCAGCTGTCACCCTGGCTTGAATCCCCCACTGTCTGCTGTGGTGGGTGTGGTGGGGCTTGTTTTTTTAGGAGTGGCAGTGGGTTTGTACCATTTCTTTTAAAATTTCTTGTTGTGTGCCCCTGTGACCAAAAGCTTGTTTCTGCGAGCCATTTGGCTGGAGCAAGGGATGTGGTCTGTGGTTACATAACAGATCTTATTCCAGAGGCCAATTCTCACCCACACCCACCTCATTCCCCATCCTGAGATAAACTAATCTGAATGCATTCCAAAGATTCAAGAAATGGAAAGATATGACGTGGGGGGTGGGGGGGTGGGGGGGTGGGTTTGGGGCGGGGCCGGGGGGCGGTGGTGGGTAGTAGGATGCAGAGAAGACCCGATGAAGGAGAGGAAAGAAGAAAGAAGCAAGAAACATAAAAGGCACAGGATGAGAGGACGAGAAGGAGGGGGTGGGCCAGAGGAGAGAGGGCAGGTGGGATCACTGGGCAGCAGTGACCCACCTTCACCTACCGCAGAGGTGAATGGCGGCCTCTGGGCCATGCCCAGCCCACAGACCTTTCTTTGGTCTGCTTGAATTTTTTAGAGACTGGAGAATTTCACAAAAAAATTAAGGCTTCTCTTGGAAGACCTAGAGGTTGTGGCAAAGCGAGTCTGTATGCCAACATGGCAGCACATGGCTAGAGCTGGTGGCTGCCAGCTTCAGGTAGGGCATCGCTCCGGTTTGTCACAGACCCCACCTCTTCCTACGGCCGTCCTGCTTCTTCACTCAGTTCCGTTACAGGTCTAGCCCCAGTGGGCATGTGAGTTTGTGACCCTGGTCTGTATGATGAGCCCTGCAGTGTGCGGTGGTGGGTGGTGGGCGGTGGTCAGGGGAGGAGGGCATCACACTGAGTGACAACAGAGGAGCTCCAAGTCCCCAGGAACATTTCTCCTCTCCCTCCCCACCCCCATCTCGCCCGCCTGTCTGAGTCCAGAGCACAGGCTGCAGTCACTCAGCCTGCATGTTGAGGGAATGGAGCAGCAATAGGAATGTGCTTTTCTGAACACACCCTCCCCCCAAACACAGCCTTTGTGGCCATTGCCACGTGGTGCAAAGAAAGAAGGGAAGCTGGTATCTCAGGAAACAGTTCTTATTCCTGGAGGACCTGGGAGGATACATCCTTGACTCCGGTGGGATGTTAGCCTAGGCAAGGCATGTTCCTAAATAAGGGCCTTGTCATTTGAAGAATGTCAAACCTTTCCATCTGTCAACTTTCATTAAAGAAAAGTCATAGCCAAATCAGAGTTTTCAATCCAGAAGGGACCACCTTTGGACTCCCCCTCCCCTTTCTACAGATGAACACGCGGAGGACCGGGAGGGTAAAGTGTACAGAGAGTTGTCACTTGGGGAGATGTTCTTCACTTCTTATGACGGTTTTCAATAATTGGCCCCCTTCTGTCTTCTGTTTTCAGTGTTTCTCTTCCTTCACTTGGCATTTGCTCATTGTACCCTAGCTCCTGTTTTGTATTTCCTTCCACTGCACATACTTGTCCCTGAGGCAGGAGAAACTGAGATCCAGAGATAAAGGGGAAGGATCCCTCGGAGATGATTGGTGATTTTATTTCTCTGCCCTTCAGCTAAAAGGGACCCTAAAGAGCCAGAGCCCCTCCTGGAGCCGGAGGAAGAGATGGAGGAAGAGATGGAAGAAGAGATGGAGGCCCCGACTAGCAGTGAGTCTGCCTCCCCTAAGGGGACCTGCAGGATAAAGGAGAAAGGACACAAGAGGGTAATAGGGGAGGGGTAGATATACCAATGTGACAGACCCAAGCCTAAGACAGACAGACCCCAAATCCAGCACCTGGAAGCAGTCGCTGGACTCTTGGGGTCTGGGCAGGAAGAAGCTGGAGGCCCTCCGCGGCCTGGGAGGAGGTGGTGTTCAGCAGGAAAGAGAGTCTGAGGCCTGCGCAGAGGCCGGAGAGGGAAGTGGGAGAGATTTTATTTTTAGAGTGGGAAGATTATAAAAACAACAGGCTAGAAAGTCGAGTTGGGCATCAGAAAGGACTTCCTGACTGAAGGGTGTGCACCGATGAAGCTTGTTTGTTTTCCTTCCCTGGAGATCTTTAATGGAAGAGTCAGGAGAGCAAAGCTAAATGCGGGGAATTAGCCATGACGGAGCGACCTCTTGAGGTCTGCCTGGCACACACCTCGCCCTGTTCTCTCAGACCTGTACTCAGCACCCAACTCCTGCCATGGCCGCTGCCGCGAGTCCTTCGACAAGCACCGCCCATGCCACTGCAATGCCCGCTGCCCAGAGTTTGGGAACTGCTGCGAGGATTTCGAGAGCCAGTGTGGCCACGGTCAGTCTCCTGCTCTCTTTAGCCTAGTGCCAAGGACAGAGGGGTCTCTTCAGAGTGATAGTTCTCCAAGTGCAGTTCCTGGGCCAGCGCATCAGCGTCGGGAATTTATTAGACATGCTTTACCCTGGACCTACTGAATCAGAAACTCTGAGGTGGGTGGGGCCCCCCTGACCACCCACCCTCCCACCCATCTGTTTTAAAAACCGTCCAGCTGATTCTGAGGCATGTCAAAGTTTGAGAACCATCCTAGAGGAAGGGGACAGTGTGAACATTCTCTGGACATTCAGTGGGCAAGGCCATGTGCTGATTTTAAGGATCCTTAAAGCCCAGGGCCGCTGTGTACTGGCCGCTAGGGGGCCAGGTTGCAGCCCCTCTCCCTTGCTGCCAGCTTCTGGAAGGTGCTCGGAAGGAGAGGCGCTCAGACAGTGGCCTCCCTCTGGCCTCCCTCTGGCTCTGAGACACCCCTCCCCAATTCCCCCCAGAGGGGTTCTCCCACAGCAGTGACACCATAACCAAGAAGGAGTTGCAGGCCACCTCTGAGAAGATCTATAGGGCGGATGCCAACAAAGCCCAGAAGGAAGACATCATTCTCAACAGTCAAAGCTTCATCTCGCCCTCCGAAACCAGAGACCAAGTGGACCACAGCCCAGAGCCGTGAGTTCCCTTTGTTTCTCTCCCTCAGAGTTTCTCCTCCAAGTTTGCTTCTGTTGATACCTCATCTCTTTTCTCCTCCAGAAAGGCAGACTCAAAGGGGGAGGAAAAAAAATAGGTCTCCAGGGGCAAACAAAGCCACCTTGAGGGATGTGGACATCCAGTAGGGAGGATTTCTGTGATTGGCCAGGCTGAGAGCGACCTCCTGCATGGCCTTCAAGAGTATGCGAAGCCCCCACTCTGCTCCTGAACCCAACTATCGCAGGGTTCCTGGAGGGGCTTCTGCTCCACCTTCAGGCCTCTCACTGGGCCTCCCTCCACCTCTCCAGGCTCTTTACATACGTCAATGAGAAGCTGTTCTCCAAGCCGACCTACGCAGCCTTCATCAACCTCCTCAACAACTACCACCGGGCAACGGGCCACGGGGAGCACTTCAGTGCCGAGCAGCTGGCCGAGCAGGACACCTTCCTCAGAGAGGTCATGAAGACAGCAGTCATGAAGGAGCTCTATCGCTTCCTCCAGCACCAGAGTGAGTGAACCTTTCTCAGGCCCCATGAAGCGGTGCTGAGGACTCGGGTCTGTCTGCGGGAGAGCTAGGAACCTCTGGGGCCTCCACAGTGGGCAAGTTAAGAGCATGGGTGGGGGCTCCCTGGAGGCCGGTGTACATTTGGGAGGGGACAGGGAGTAGACGGCCGGAGAGGAGCCCAGAGAGATCATGGACCTAAGCAGGAGCTGAAGAATCCTCTGTCTGGCCTGGAAGTCACCCCATCTTTTGATTTACTCCCAGCTGCCTTGTTTACACCCCCACTTACTGCTTCAGTCTCGGGGTTCTCTGCAAGGCCGTGAGCCACCCCACTCCATGCGGGACACTTGCCCACCACCTCAGCTGACCCAGCGTCAGCATGACTTTCCAGGTTCACGATTCTGCTCCTTCCTCCTGCTCTTGAGTCCAGGAAGGAGGTCGGCCCACTCCACTTTTGTGTTGGGGAAACAGCAACAGAATATCAACAAAGGTTCAGAGGGGAACGTTCTACCGGGAAGAGTTCTGGTTGGAGTGGCTCCAGAGAGAGACATTTGAATCGGACCAAAAAAGGTTGGAGCTGCGGAACTTCTTGGCGTGGGCTGTGTTTGTCAGTGTCCTCCAGATTCCTTTCCTGAACTCCAGGCAGCTGGGCTTTGCCTCAGGGCAGCTCTGACCAGGTCTTCCCTCCCTGGCTGTGGGATGGCGTCTGTTCACGGCTACCGCATTCCATCCAAGGGCCTCCTGGTTAAAAGTAACAGGCTCTGTTTTTACATAAAGGCAGTGACACGCAATCCCTGTGAAGAAGACACAATCCTTCACTGCCCCCTGGTGTTCTCTTTGTAGTAAACACGTGAGAAAATCATGGAGGTCAACACTGAGCCCTTCAACTTTTCAAATGAGAGAAATGGAGGCCCAGACAGGCTACATGACTTGTAGGAGGCCATAGAGAAAGTTGTGGGTAGAGACAAGCTGCAACCCAGGGTTCTGACACTGAGGCCGGGTTGTTCCATTACTCACCCCGTCTTCACCCAGCTCCCTGGCCAAATCCCACTTGTTCTTAAAGTTCTAGCTCACACCCCACTGCATTTCTGAAGCTGCACTTGCCACAGCTCACAGCTGGTTCTCATCATCTCTTCAGGGGTCAAGTGTTTTGGGTGTGGACCCAAATAGCCTTGGGCCAGAGAGACTTGATTAGAGTTCCAAGCTCTGACACTTACTAGTGATGTGGCCTTGGGCAAATTATTCTACCTTTCTGAGCCTCATCTGTTGAAATGGGGTCTCAGAGGGTTTAGCCCTGTAAAGCACCCAATGGAAAGCCTGGTTCCAAGAAAGTGAGTGGGAGCATTCAGGTTGTGAAACCATTCTCTGTTATTGTGTCTCTGTTATTCAGTCTTGTTTGCCAATTGTGCTATGACTCCTTGAAAGAAAGGAATCTGTCTGGTATCACTTTTGTATCCTCCACACACAATTCTGGGCAGTAAACTGTCAATATCTGATGGCTCCTTAATTTAGATCCCCAGCCCTGACCTTCTCCTTAGGTCCCAACTGCCTCTTGACATTTCCACCTGCCTATCTAATGGCATCTCTTTAGAACTTAGTGTAAAGAGAATGCACGGTTCCTGCCTCTTCCTCAGTTTTCCCTGTCTCATAAATGACACCATAATTCATCCAGTTGCTCAGGTCAGAAGCCCAGGAGTTTTATCTGGTGCTTCTCTTTACCTCACTGCTTGCTCCCCATTCGCATTTCCTCCACCAGTAACATCTATCGCTTCCAGCTTCAAAAGCTACCCCTGCTCCGTGGCTGCCAGTGCAGTCTAAGCCACCACCCTCTGTTACCCGGACAAAGCGTTAACCTCAAAACAGGTCTCTCTGCTGCTCATAGGCCCTGTTGATCTTTTCACGCACACAACCGAAGTGATTCTTTAAAAACAAAGCCCCCGACACAAAATCCCCCTGCTCGAAACACTTAGTGGCTCTCCCATCACCAAGAAGCTATAGTCATTAAGAGATCGTCCTCTGGAGCTAGATGGTAGGGGCTCAAGTGCTGTCCCTCTCTCTTATTAATGGTGTGATCTTGCGTGAGTTATTATGTCCTTTATTTGCCTCGGTTTCTTCATTTCTAAATTGGGGATACTTAACACCAACCTGATGTGAAGATTAAGTGTGAAGATGGAAAGCACGTCCAACAGTGCCAGGCACAAAGAACACACTCAGTAAATCTAAAATATTCTTTGTTTTTGCCATTTGACTGAGATCCAACCCTCTTGCCACAGCTTACATGACCTGGCCGCTGCCTCCCTTTCCCCTCCTGCTCGTGCTGCTGCAGCCAGTTGGCTTTCTTTCATCTCTTTGATCACCAAGCCCAAGTCATCCTGGAGGCTTTATACTTGCTGTTTCCTCTATGGAAGAACCTTTGCCCCAGATCTTTGCAAGGCTGGCTCCTTATCTTTCTGGTCTCTGATGAGTGCCACCTTCTCAGAGAAGCCTTTCTGATGTCCCTTTCTAGAAGAGCCTCTCCCCCATCCTCACCTTCAGTCACCAGGGCATAGTCTTCTTTATTTTCCTCTTAGCACTCATCTGAAACCGTATTGGTTACTTATGGTTTATTATTTGTCTCTTCTACTGGAATGTAAAGTATAAAGAGAGAAATCTAGTCCTTGTGATTCCCTGCTGAATCCTTCACCCTTAGACCTGGGTCTAACACAAAACAGGTGACCCATAGATCGCTGTTGAACAAACAATTGAATACATTTGTTGGTTGAACCCATGTGTCTCGACGTGGTGGAGCAGGTGGCCCTTCTTTCCTTTCCAGGATTTGGTCCTGCCTTCCCTTCTCCTAAATCCTCTGTGTTCCTCCCTACAGACCGCTACAGCTCAGAACAAGAGTTTGTCGATGACTTGAAGAACATGTGGTTTGGGCTCTATTCAAGAGGCGTTGAAGAGGGGGACTCAAGTGGATTTGAACACGTCTTCTCAGGTGGGGTCACTCTTCTCAGAAAAAAAGAAATGGAGAGATGGCTTCCGTCAGGCGCAGGGCAGCACTAGGCATTGGGGAATCAGCAGCCACGCCAGCGAGCAGGGAGGGACATGTCTACTCCCAGGCCAAGAGGGCGGCGCCTGAGGAGCCACTATTGAGGAACATTTTCTTGGAGTAAGGAAGAAAGAGGGCCAGGTGCTGGGGCTCCCAAGGGTCACATGGAGGGAGACATTTTTGGGGCTATGGCTGTCTCTCTCTGAATGGTCCTCTGCGTCCAGGTCTTGGTCAGCTGCTTCCCAAGGGGGCTTTGTCTTTCTCCCCACTGCACTAACCCATAAAGCTTCCAGCAAGTCTGGCCACAAGAGTCAGCCAGGAGGAGAAATTCTACCAAGTGCTTGAGCTGAAACGGGAGTGGTCTTCCTGAGGTGAAAGTTAGGGATATAAGGGGCTCTGAGAAGTCTGGGCAAGGGGCTGAACAGATGAACAAACTAGGAGTCAGAGACTTGAAAAGAGAGATAGCCTTGCCATGGGAGGGGAGAAATGGGTTAGAAGGGAAGCCCAGATCACCCACCTTGGACTCTTTACTATAGGTGAAGTCAAAAAAGGCAAGGTCACGGGCTTCCATAACTGGATTCGCTTCTACCTGCAAGAGAAGAAGGGCCTGGTTGACTATTATAGTTACATCTACGATGGGCCTGTGAGTACCGAATGCTGACCCCCTGGGCTGGAAAGCCTTGTTAACTTCCTGCCCTCATTCTGCATGCTGAACAGTCAGACTTGTCTCCCACCCTGACCCCCATCGGCAGCTTAGGGGAGTTGTAAATATGAGTTACCTGTCCGCTGAACAGCAGGCTTAACCAGCCAGGACACTGGGATTCCCTTCCAAACAGTGAAGGCTCCACAACTTCAGGGGCAGGAGGGAGAGGACATCGTCTCTGGTTAGGGGTAGGGACAGGGGAGGATTCTCAGGGGGGAAAACCAGACATGCCATTACTTCCTGTGTGAATATTCTTAGTACACAGTGTCTGCTGGAAGTTTCAGTTTGGCCAGTCTGAGTTAAACTCCTTGTATTTTATAAAAATGAAACCTTAGCTGCCTGATGTCAGAAAACAATTTTGGAGCAATAAGTGGCCCTTTTCCTCTACATGTGAGGGCATAGGGAATAGTTATGTCCCTGCTCCCCAGGCATTGATCACACGGTTGCTGGCTCTGGCCTCCCTGTGAGATATGCGCTGGCAGCTCCAAACAGAGGGTCTGAATGTGGCTCACACATTGTAGCAGGAGAGATGGTTTAAAGAATCCAGCCTCCCTGGAAAGTTTACACAGACACCTAATGGGCCCTCAACAAATCCTGGCTGAATGCTGCCGCTTGCCCCACCTCGGGCAGCCCCCACTCTGTGGCATTCACCATCCCCTCTCTCCGTCCGCAGTGGGAGTCTTATCCTGACGTGTTAGCCATGCAGTTCAACTGGGATGGCTACTATAAGGAAGTGGGCTCAGCTTTCATCGGCAGCAGCCCTGAGTTTGAGTTTGCACTCTACTCCCTGTGCTTCATCGCCAGGCCAGGCAAAACGTAAGTACTGGGTCAGCCAGGCCTGGGGAGCAGGATGTCCTCAGCCAGGACTGTCAGGAGACCTGGATTCTGCCACTCAGTGGCTCAGAGGACATGGCTAGGTCACAATTCTAGCCTCAGTTTTCTCACTTGGGAAATGAAGCTGTTAGATAGTGGCTGCCAAACTTCATTTTAGCAGCAGAACCACTGCCTCTCTTTCCCCCAGGTGAAATCTTGTGCAGGACCTTAATGTGTAACACAGTGAGAAATGGCTCTGCCTGCCATGGCTCAGTTGGTTGGGCATCATTGGTCACCATTTTGATTCCCAGTTAGGCACATGCCTGGGTTGTTGACGTGGTCCCTGGTTGGGGCATGTGCGAGAGACGACTGATCAATGTTTCTCTCACACGTTGATGGGGAGAGGGGAGGGGAGAGGGTCCTCTCCCTCTCTTTCTCGGTACTTTCCCCTCTCTCTAAAACAAACAAACAAATAAATAAATTCTAAACAAACAACCCCCCACACCCAAAACAGTGAGAAATGGAGTTGCCCTAGTGCTCCAAGCCTCTCTAACTGACCTCCCCCTAACCTCACCTGAGGTTACTTGGGGGAACCCTAGAGTCCCAGAGAGTTCAGTTGAAACCACTGGACCTCATGTGCTCTCACATTTGAGGACTCTGGATCCTGCTACTTTTGAAACCCTAAGCACACATTTAATTTCTGGGGGTTCAGCTCTAGAATCTGGGATTTTAGAATACTGCTCTGGGAAAGATGAAAAGCAGTGTTCTTTAAGAAGATAGAAACTATCTTCTTAAAAGACAAAGGTTTTGGAAGGGCTCCATGCAGGCGGGGAGCTGGAGGCAGTGGCTGAAGTAAACTGCGGCAGCTCCCTTAGCAGCCTTTTAAGAAGGAGCCAAGTCCTTCTGCATGAGTTGGGGCAGAGGTGGAGTGAAGCAGGGGTCCCATGACTTGACAATCTCTTCCACAGGTGCCAGTTAAGCCTGGGTGGACACCCCTTGGCCATCCAGACCTATTCCTGGGACAAGTCCACCTACGGAAATGGGAAGAAGTACATTGCTACAGCCTACGTGGTGTCTTCTACCCGATAGAGCTTGGGACCAGAAAGGGGCATGAGGGCAGGAGGGTCCTTGCGGGACGGAGGTGCTGTCTGCTCTGGGCTGGAGAGGGGACGGAGGAGACCAGCAGGGATTCCCAAATCCAGACATCCATGTGGGAAAGAGAAGAAAGACACAAATGAGAAAAATGCAGAGAAACAGTCAAATCTTTGTACCCAGCATTTTGGAAGCAGCATCCAGACATGGAAGCTGAGGCCCTCCACAGCTCTTTGCCCTGATGGGAGCTGGAACTGTGAATAAGTCCTCGGCCTCTCCAAGCCTCATGTTTCCTTTTAATGTAAAGGGAAGGGTGTGCCCCCTTTCCTCTTTTTGGAGTTGATGAGAGGAGCCTGATCAATTACTACTGTGAAAATGTTACCAATTGTTCTTAGGAAGAATGGCTGACAGAAATTCAAGATTACACTAATGGCTGTTATTGTACACAGCTCTGCAAACTGCATTTCAGCCCTACATGGGAGCCTCAAAGAAATCAGGCCATGGAACTCAAGCATGGGAGTTTGGTCTTCTCTAGGGTTATATCCTCTTAGAAGATCTGGGAGAACTCAGACACTGGACGGAGAGGGTGATGGTTGACACAGTGAGTGGGATGGAGCGGGGGAGTGGACGCCTCCAGGCCTGAAGGTTTTTACAGCCAGCGCAGTAACTGCATCAAGACTGTTCCTGCTTGTTGATATTTAGTACAATTACAGAGCTGCATTTTGACCCTGAATAATTTGTGAAAGAGTTCCCTCATAGGATGATTTTGCATCAGAAGATAGGAGCTTATAGCTTGGTGTCCTTAATGATTATTTTAAGGCTTACCCAGTAGCCATAATTTGCATAAACTCCAGAAAGGAAGACCAGGGTAACTGCATTTCAACCTCAATTATATATTTCTTCCCTTACCCCACAGGAAACCAAACATTGTTCCACAGAGCCAGGCTTGAACCATAGCTAAGAGCAGTGATTTTTCAACAAGAATTTTTAAAACATGCAATACCTGACTCTTTAGTCAGGAGCACTGACCTCTTTATCCTTAGATTGTCAAATAAAAAAATAACAACAGCCAACATAACAATAGCTGTCCAGTGTAAATGTCCTGTCTTGTACCATGAATAGATAGGTCATATAATAGAGTTGCATCTTTTTGGTCATGTTGCATAATAAAGTTGTGTCTGATTGGTTAATTCTTGGTACCACAAATCCTTATATACGAGTATAGGCACCTGATTTTTTAAAAAGTCATTTTGGAGCAAAAAGGTCATTACAATTATTTTTTTGTAAATCAATAAAAATTATATCTATTTGTTGTCAGATCAGCAAAAATATAATATTTTTTGATATTTTTTGGTGTGCCACAGAATTTTAATAATTAGTCTCTGTGTGCTATGAGATGAAAAAAGTTGAAAATTACTGGTTTAAAGGGTTAAAATCTCCAATTAAAGTCATTTTAGAAAATTTGAAATGTGTCTCTCTGTTGGTGTTCATACTGCCTGTCACCGCCGGAACCAGTAGGTAGAGACAAGGACTGAATCTTTATGGGCACTTTATTCAGATGCCAATGAGCTGAGAAGACAGCAGATTATATACCCTAAAAACTGTCTGAACATCTCATTTCAAGCCAACCTTTTTATAAGAAGAAAAGGGTAGGTCAAGGGTTTGGAAAAAGGTAAATCAGGTATAAGTTGTAGTCCACGGCTATTTTCCTAGTATTTCTTTATCTACTGATAAAAAATTCTTTATCTGCTTCCTTCCCTGGAACACAAGGACTCAGGTACTTTCCTTGCAGACCCCCTGGGGCACAAAGGTTGAATTGTTTGTTTAACTTCTGTAGTCACAAGGATCATGTATTCCATTTTTGGGACAATAGCTTTCCACATGCATTAATCACATAAACCTGTCCACTATAACTAAAGCTAAAGGCTTCAACTCTCAAGTTCCTCTATAGTCTTCTTTGTAACTGGCCTTTTCAAGTGCTTTTCTCCCTGCCTTTTCCCAGGAGCAGAACTGGGAAAGGTACTTTTGATTCCAGTGTTTGTTCAGGGTGGCTCAGATAATGTGGTATCTCATGAAGTCTCTGAGGACTCACCAATTCTCTCTAACCAAGATGGGGAAAGAATTCTTCCTAGCGTACTTGTAATGTGAAGAATGGAGGGAGTGTTTACAGCTTCTGGCTCCCCATATAGGAGTTTGGAAGTTGACACTCCATCCTAAAAACAAGTAGAAAACTGAATAGACTGAAGAAATCAACAACTATTCTTGGATCTGTATGAGAAGGGAGGACACAGGCGAAACACTGCCCTCAAGATTGGAAAGACAGGAGAATATAAGGCTTACCGGAGAAGAGATCTGAAGCACAAACCAGTGCTGGGGTGTCCGATAGAGGCAGGAGAAAGAAACGATTTCGAAATACTCCAGAGTACCCTATCCTTCTTAACAAATCCTTGGAAAACAATTAGCCAGAGCCTAACCTTGGGTGGTATTTTCAGAGGGAGGGGCAGGAAATAACATTTGTTAAAGCTCTTACCACATCCCAGCTGGCTAAAAAGGCCTTTTACATTACATACATTTTCTCACTCCAGTAGATATTTTTATCTTCACCATTTTAATTATACCTAAACAACTGAGGTTTATATTAAGCCTCATTTTACAGATTACATTCTCAGTAAGTAGCAGAATCAGGGCTACAAAATTCAACCCTTTTCCTCAGGTTATCTTGAGTCTGGATTTCTGTAGTATTGATTGATTGATTGATTCATTCATTCTTCTTTCAAAGGATACTTATTAAGGCCTAGGATAGAGGTTATGGCTGCCCTTCAATATCTGCTCTTCTCTTCCTTATTTATTGAATTCTTAGTTTTCAGATCAGCACATGACTGCCAAAAATTAAAAACTCTCAAACTCCTTTGGAGAGAAGAGGGCTCCCAATACAGTCATAGTTTTTTTTTGTAGGACAATGGGTGTCCTCGGAATTAGGTGATGATGGCCATCAAGACCTTTTGACTAACTTCTCTCACTTTGATTCCGTACTCACTAAGAAAACTTGACGGAGAAAAGAATTCACCCAAGAGTATATGAAATTTTACTAGAGCAGCCAGCTGGCTCTCTCCTCTTCCATCTCAACCAACTTTGCCAGAATCAATTAAAAAAATACAGTTGCTTTTGTTAAGAAAATCTATAAATCAATACCTGCTTAAAAATTTTTATTATTAGATTTATTTTAAAACACAAAAACTCAAAGTCAGTTATCTATCCCCTTAAGACAAAACCCAAAAGAATCATTTCATTAGTAAATATTTTAATAACACAATAATTTGACTACTATAACTTTAAAATACGAAGATACCACATAATTATACAATGAGAAAGATGTGCTAGTAATATGACCTTGTAAGGGAGGGCCCTAGGGTGATTTTTCATTGACCATTACCTGGATTAATGGTTCCTAGTTTCAGTTGCACAGCCATATCCTGTGCTTTAAAAACTCAGGATGCCTGGGTTCCACTAATTAAATCAGAATCTCTGGGTATAGGACCTAAAAATCAATTTTTTTTTTCAGTCAAGCTTGAGAGCCGCTGATCTGAATTTTTGGGCTACTGTTTTAGATCAAAGAGCTGTTTCAAATGAAAAGTTTTTGCTCGTTGTTTTCGTGGAATTAATTATTTTTGTTTTACAATTTTGTTAGAGCTGTCATGAAAATGAAAAAAGCTCACTCCTATTGAAAGAAGAAGCCAGAGATGTTACAAGCTTCGTATTCTTTCTGCTTTGTAAGCCAGGGCACATCTAAAGACAAGCCTTAATACTCACACACGTTCTTGAAAGACTCAAAGACAGAAACAGAAAAGGAAAGAGTTTACTTGCAAAGGTGTAGGGGGCGGGGGTCAGACTGAAGAATCGGTTTACCAAATATAAGCACTTAAAGGGGGAAAAAAAAACCCCTTGTAACATTGCCAGAGTTACAAGTTTACGTAGACTGTTCACGGCAGAGAAACAGTAACTTCCTCACATATTTTTCACACTCAGATCGTGACATACTGTTAGACGCCAGCAAGCCAAATATTAGGCATTACATTGTTTGAGGGAAGTCCAAAGAAATAAAGGTGTCACTATTTTGGGAACAAGTCAGGACGACCCTGCAGGTTTTGGGTTCCATCCTCAGTTTAGTCAGACTGCGCTTTGAGACACCTGTCAACTCCCCACCCTGGCTCTACCAGAAGGCGCAAGGTATCTGACCTTCTGCGCACGCTCTGGGGGCGGGGTGAGGCGCGCGGGGACTTGTGGGAAAGTGCAGGAAGGCGGGGTCCGGCGCGAGTCGTGGTGGGCTGGGCGCCGCGGAGGTGTGGGCCGTAGAGGCCTGGCGAGGTGAGCAGGCTTAGCTGTTACCACTGAGGGCCCTTTTGGGGTCGCCTGGCCGGTGAAGGGGTCGCGGCCATGGGTCCTTGGGTGAAGCGACGTGGGCGAGGGCGGGCAACGGGGGCACGGCGTTGGGTTGCCGCGGTGATGTCCTGGGTAGCGGCGTCCCGGGAGCGCGTCCTGGTTAGGGCTCGCCGCGCGCGCCCGGGCCTGGACGTTCTCCTTTGCCGGCGATCCCGCACCCCGGCTGCTCGGGTCCTTGGGCTGTTTGCGGTGGTCTGGAGCGTAGATTCACCCTCTAGAGAAAACTGCGGCGAGGCCCGCCCCCTTTGGGCGTGCGTGTGCTGTGCTTGCCTGGGTATTGGGTATGAGAGTGATACCCACAACCCCTGGAAGTTTCTGGTTGCCTGACTGGACCTCATTCAGCGCCACCGCAGGTTCCGTGAGAGTAGTTGGCCCTGCAGGAGGTGATGGGTGAAATGGAAAAGGTTTTGACCCCCCTCTCCACAGCATCTCAGTGAGTTGCTGCACTTTTATTCCTATTTTTGAGTCCCCAGCGAAGCATTGTACTAGTTTTGTTTTTTAAAGGATACTCATGTATGATCAAATATGGGCCCTGCCCAAAAGGAGCTTACAGTTACTTTGTAAGTCTAAGCTGGGGCTCAGAAGACCTATCCGCATTTGCAGTCATCTCTTCTTCACCCTAAAGGAGTCCCCTTTCTAACCACTCCTCTCTCCCATCCAGCTCCTCCTTTCCCCTCCTCCTTTAAGCTTGGAATTCTCTCTCACCCTTTGGTGGCCTTGCCCCATCACTGACCCTTTTTCTTATACCCTCTTTTACTGTGTTTCACCCCAGACGCCTCCAGCAGGCATACACCACTTAATGAAGAAGATGAAGATACTTCTGGGCATAGTTCTGAGAAATGCATGGATAGGCGATTTGTAGATTATGTGGAAGTTAGAGTGCACTTACACAAACTTGGTACAGCCTACTACACACCTAGGCTACATAATATAGCTTATTGGTCCTAGGCTACGAGCCTGTACAGCGTATTACTGTACAAAACAACCTTGATTAAATCAAGCACAAGAGAAAATGATAGAAGGAAGAGTCTTGGTAAACACGAGATGTGAGAGGCTGGTGGCGTAACACCATATACTGTTTTACAGCAGACTTTAAAAAAAAGTAAGTAGAAAGAGTAAGTATAGTGTAGTCAATACATAAACAAGTTGCATAGTCTTTTATTATTATCAAGAATTATGTACTGTATAATTGTATGTGCTCTACTTTAATATGATAATCAGTGCAGTAGGTTTGTTTACACCAGCATCGCCACAAACACTTGAGTAATGCATGTATTACAGTGGCTGTGATGTCACTTGGTGATAGAAAGTTTTCAGCTCCATTATTATCTTATGGGACCACAGTTGGATGTGTGGTCTGTTGTTGACCCAAACGTGGTTATGAGCAATCTTACATTATCAAAGACAAAATTACGTCCATCTTCATATAGTAATCTCATTTACCCAGCTCGTTTTATTTCTGTTCTTTTAACGCCCCCCTTAAAACTCTCAATGATCTTTGTATGACTAAATATAAAGGCTATATTTTAATTTTTAAAAATTTCTTTCCCCCAAACAACCTCTGTAGCATTTGGTACTGCTAACCTATCCTACCTTCTTGAACTCTTGAAAATGCTCTTCTGTAATGGTGCTCTCCCAAGTTTTCCTCCCAGCTCCCTAGATGCTACTGCCTAGTTTTTCCTATATCTGCATCTCCTCCTCTGTTTGCTTCCTAGATATTAGTGTTCTCCAGCCACCCCCACCCCCACCCCAATAGTGATAGTAATTAAACATGTCCAAATCCTATGATTGTCGTTTCCACCTTTATGCCAGTGACACCCAGATTTATAACTCTAGCCCAATGTAACTGCCTACTAAGATATGTCTTCCTGTTGTCCCATAAACACTCAAATAAACATATTTCAAACTAAAATATCTGTCTTTTTGTATGTCCTCCAATCCTGAAACCACTTATCTTTTTAAAATTGTGATTTCTGACTCCACTAACCTAACCAGGCTCCCAAACAAGAAACTCTGAGACACTAAGTCTTCTGTGCTCCATAGTTCCTCAATCTAGTCACTCATGTCCCTTTTAATTTATCACCTTAATACTTTCACATAGCTTTCTGGCATTTCAAGATCTGTTTTATTTCCACGTTGTTAGCCTTCTCCTCTATGGAAGAGTCCCTCCTAGTCCCTCACTCTGCCTGCCCATTCCTTCATGTAAATTACTTGGCTGGCTCCTTTTGAAACTCCACTAAAGCTGCAGCACCTCTGGGGACTCTTTTCTCAAACCTACCACTCTACCCTCTGATTGATGCCTATCCTTTGTGGTCAGTCTCATAGCATTTGTATGTATGTCTAAGCACAGTGGTTCTCAACCAGGCATCATTATGCCTCCCAGGGGACATTTGACAATGTCTGGAGACATTTTTTGTTGTCACAGTCTGGAGGGGAGGTGGTAATACTGGCACCTAGTTGGTAGAGGCCACGGATGTTGCCAACCATCTTACAATACACAGGACAGTCCCCCTCCAAGGAAAGAGTGATTCAGCCCGCAATGTCAGTAGTCTCAAGACTGAGAAACCCTGCCTAGCCTAGTATTTTGTTAGTCAGTATTTGATTGTTTTTCACTAGACAAGGGACTTCGTCTTACTTGTTTTTGCATCCCTAAATCTTGATACAGAATCTATCACATAACAGAAGCTCAATAAATGTTGAAAGAAAGAGTTAATTAGGATAAATTTATTAACTCCAGAGATGAGCAGCCAATCTACTACCATGGGCTACTTGGTAGTAGATCAATTTCATTGATTCCCTCCCTATTGCCTTTCCTTCATATTGCATTGTGGAGATGCCTAAACTTTTTAAAAAAAAATTTTATTTATTCAGCAAACATTGATTGACCCATTTTAAAAAATAATATACTGATATTTTCTTCATCATCACTTTTGACTCTGTTCTATCCATGTATTTTGGCCATTTATGATGCGTTAAAAAGTAATTAATTAGCTAGGTTTCAAAAAATAAACCAAGTATATAATTCAATTTCTTATTAGAAGTTGGTTGTTTAAACCTCTGCAGGCCATAATGACTTCAACTAATAAAGCAATTGAATTACAACTACAAGTGAAACAAAATGCAGAAGAATTACAAGACTTTATGAGGGATTTAGAAAACTGGGAAGAAGATATTAAACAAAAGGATATGGAACTAAGAAGACAGAATGGTGTCCCTGAAGAGGTAAATTCCTTTCTTTTTAATGGCCAAAGATTTTATTTTTAAGATTTTATTTATTTATTTTTAGAGAGAGGGGAGGGAGGGAGAAAGAAAGGGAGAGAGAAAGAAAGGGAGAGAAACATTGATTGGTTGCCCTAGCATGGCCCCAACTGGGGACTTGGCCCACAACCCAGGCATGTGCCCTGACTAGAGATTGAACGAGCAATCTTTCGGTAGGTAGGCCGATGTTCAGTCGGTTGAGCCACACAAGTCAGGGTGTAAATTTCTTAAATTCTTACTTCAGAATCTAGCAAAACTATTTATTTTAAAATAAAGCACCTTTTAAAATGGTTTGTGAAAATACTGAAATTGAAGTGATTTGCTTTCTACCAGCATTTTGGAAACAACTTCTTTTTAAAGTATTTGTAATAATTGTATTAACTATAGTAAGACAATTCAAATTTTAGTGAATAGTTACTGAAAGGAAGACCGTATGATAATTCTTAAGTGAACAGCATCATAAAATGTGTAGGTGTGTACATATGTAAATATATACTCAATGACATTAACACACACTATTGCCATAAAAATGTAGATAGTACCCAAGTTCAATCAAACATTCTTCTAAAGACTGCATTTTTCATACTAATGATATGGAGGCAGTTTAGTTTGCCATTGTACTATTGCTAATTCATTGTACTAAGGCTGAAGATCAGTTAGTTTTTGAAGTTGAATTTAGGATTGCAAATTAAGTGTATAACATTTCTGGGTAATAACTTATGACTAAGTAATGCTTAACATTTGTTAAAGGAATGAATTAAACTTTTCAAGCATAAATTACCATTTTAAGTGAAGGTGGTAAATTGGTATTGTTAAGCACTTGAAGATTAAATTTAAAAATACTCCTTACATGAAATATAATTTAGAATTTTAAACATTGCTAGTTATACAAAAAATTAATAGAGTGGTGCTGAAAACGTATTTGTTTTTTCTCCCTAGAATTTACCTCCTATTCGAAATAGGAATTTTAGGAAAAAGAAGAAAGGTAAAGCTAAAGAGTCATCTAAAAAAACCAAAGATGAAAACACAAAAAACAGGATAAAGTCTTACGATTATGAGGCATGGGCAAAACTTGATGTGGTAAGTTAATATTTAGTATTTGAATAAAATTTTCTTGGCATCAGTTGAGAATCATGGATTAAATGAAAAATAATATCAAGTTCTCACAGCTAGTGTTTTTCTCTTATAAACATTTTATGTGTCAGAAAAATTTAATTATGTGGCTCTTCAATTAACCAGATAAGTTTTTCTCCTGTAGCCCTCTTTCAGTGAACAGTGCCTAAAACAGCCAGGATTCTTTTCTTTTTTTCTATTTTTCTTTCTTTTTTCTCTTTGTAAAAATAGCACATAGAGGTCCAGTGTATTCTTTACCCAGTTTTCCCCAATGGTTACATCTTAACTATAGTATAGTATCAAAACCAGGAAACGGACATTGGTGCAATGTATGTATAATTGTGTGCCATTTTACTACATACGTAGATTTGGGTAACCACCATTGCAATGAGGCAAAGATCTCTCTTGTGTTATGCATTTATAGTTGAACCTGCTTCCCTCCTCTCCACCATCTCTCATCCCTGAATTTTAAGGTAGTAATACTCTCAGAAAAGAATGACTCTGCCAATATATTTTTTATAGACTGAAGGACCTATTAAATACTAGCTAAAAGAGAATGCCTTTGTGTCTAGCCTTATGGCTGGGGCTTATGACAGTAAAAGCAGGTCCGTCTTGATCTCAGGAAGGTGGACTTCACCCTTTTAGCCCAGGTACAGCAAAGTTTAGTGCGCGCCTCCTATCTCCTACCAGGGCACACAGTGTAACTGGAGAGCCACTATTCCACATCAGAACTCTCTACCCAGTGCTCCAAGCAGCCACGGTCAAGTCAGGGAACCTGTGAAAGGGAACTTGTTGGCCAGCCTTATTCTAGAATCGGACCCATCTTAAGGGTTTGATTTAGTTAGGTTGATTTGGAATATACATTCCCTTTTAGTCCTTTAAAATGTGTTTATGTAATGTTTGATTGATACAAAAGAGCATGTGGAGATACATGTTCTGAGTCATAATAATAAAATGAATACAGAGCAAAAGTAGGTTTACAGTTGTTCATATGGAAAATAATACAATAATTAAGTAATAATGTAAGGATAAACTTTGTAGGTTTATGCCTGACCCTGTAAAGAAGGAAACCTGATGCTAAGGAAGAAGTTGAAAGGCAGAAGAGAAACCAGTCTGACCTCTGTTGGTAAAGAGTCAGCTAATGGTGGCTTAAAAAATTATTGCACATTAATTTTCTGCCCACCCACATATCTAAAACCAGAAGCTCTTTTGGCGAATGTACACAGTGTAGCAATAATGTAGACACCTACATTACACTTTCTAAAAACAAGTGCTGTCTTAGTTACCAGACTGAGAATAGCCCAACTCAGCAAAAAGTCCCGTGTACAGGGGTGGGCAAAAGTAGATTTACATCTACTAATCGTCTAATTTAAAGAGCACTTTTCCAATCTTGTTGAAGCTGCTAGTTTGCTCCTTTTCTATCCCATCTTTTCTCTCTGTAACCACACTAATTTTTATGTTTATTTTTCTTTGCACTTTTCTGTTTAATGTTTTTATTGAGATACATGTAACGTCCAAAAAATCTTAAGTATACAGCTGCCTCATTTTTACTCATGTATTCACCTGAGAAACCACCATCCAGGTCCATGAAGATCCAGGACGTTTCCAGCATCCCACCAGCCTCCCTTTTGAGTTGAGTGATTACCTCCAAGGGGAGTCACCATTTTGATCTCTGATACAATAGGCCAGTTTTGCCAGTTTTGGAACTTCGAGTAAATGGATCATACAGTATAACTCTTCTGTGTTTGGCTTCCGTTGCTAGCATTGTCTAAGATTGATTTGTGTTGTCAGTAGCAATAGTTGGTTGTTTTTTATTGTTGATCAGAATTTCACTGTGTGAGTATATCACAATTTGTGTATATATTCTATTGGCATACATTCGGGTTTCCAGTTTTGAGCTATTATGGTATACCTGCTATGAACATTTTTCTACATGACTTTTGACAGATATAAAGCATCTGTGGTGGAATTTGCTGGGTCATAGTTTATATATACATTTAGCTTTAGAAGATACTGCCAAATGGTTTTCCAAATGAGCTGAATTTTTCTTAATGAAATCAAGCAAGGCAAGTTGACTAGAGCGAGCTGGCACTGTTATTTAAGTAGTTTGCCATCTGTAAATACTGTAAATTCAGTATTGTCCTGATGTAAGAGAAATATGACTTTGGGTCTTGAATTTATTAATGTTGGAAGTGATACTTCCTGAACATGTGATTTATTTTCTGCATAGTATTGTATAGTCTGCTTTCATTTTTTGTAACTTTATCCCCTCTTATATAGCCTTTCTTTGCGTAAGTCAGTATCTTATAATACTTTTTGTTAAAGGCACCATCTCAGATGATTTTTTAGAGGTGTTTTCTACACAGTCATTTACTCATTCAACAGGTATTAATTGAACTCCAGCCTTGTGTGGCCAGAGCATCATGGTTGTACTTGACCTTGTCATTCTGGTGTATCTGTACAAGATAGAGGTGTTTGCCTACCATTCCATTCTGATTCAGGTCTCAGCAGCTGCTCTAGTGCTCTGTGGTCATTGATTTTCTACACATGTAAGCATAGCAGGGTTGGACAGTCTTGGCTTTAATGTTGGTAAGCTGGTGATATTTCTAGAATTTTCATGCTAAAATACATAGCTGAATTTCAGTCCATTTTTTAACATTCATTCAGTGAAACTAAGCATAGGTTATATTTTATTTTTAATTTATCAACAATTTTTTCTAACATAAGTTACTTTAAATAGTTCATATTTAAATAGTTAAATTATTTAAATTGTTAAATGCAAAAAGGATTTAATTTATATAGTGATTAAAATTTTTGTTTAAATGAGATTCAGTGAACTTTTTAATGCTTACAGGTTTAAAAAGCTCTTACTGATAATTATCATATATGATAAAGATAAAACTTAAAAAATCTGATGGGGTTCGTGAAATGATTTATTACCATGAAAGGAATGTGTGAGTCAAAAGAGACTGGGAATTGCTGGACTAGCATATTATATATTTTCTTAGGTAGAGTCAGTTACATTTTGAAGTATACTGCAAGACAGTATATTGCAGTTTCTGTGTTTCAGTTTCTTCAACTGAAAATTGTGGGTAATTAATTATACCTACTTAATAGGTTGTGAGAATCAGGAGTCAATAGTGCTTTGTAAGCAGATATTGTTTTAAAAATAAGAAAGAAAAAAGGTTTTTAGAAAAAACTGTTTCTTTGTTACTGGTTGCTGTTATATTACTTTGGGGTTGCTTGCAAACTTGGCTTACATTGAACCATAATACCTCACTGCTAATAGTTTGTGATTTAGGCATGATTTGCAGACTCTTGATTTAGATTACATTATGAGTTTAAAGTCAGATTCTTTAAGTGGTTTGGATCTTGCTTTTCTGAACAAGGTACGTTTTTCTCTGTATGTAACTTAACAGTGAGATTATTTAGGTTGCTTTTGTAGGCCTTTAGGTCTTTAGAGCATAACAATTTAAGTTCTACTGAGTGTCCTTTTTTCTTTTTCCTTTTTTTTTATAAGACTTTTTTTAATGTTCATGTACTTATGAGTGCTTTTCATCTACTTGATTTCAGGAAAGTATTCTTGATGAACTTGACAAAGAAGAGAATACCCATGATTCTCTGTCTCAAGAATCAGAGTCAGAAGAAGATGGAATTCATGTAGATTCACAAAAGGCCCTTGCTCTAAAAGAAAAGGTACTCTTTAATAAAGTTAGCTTTAGGTTCCTTCAGATAGGCAGGATATATAGAAAATCATGTGGATCCCAAGATTTCTTCAGCATAGTTTAGGGGTGTTCACAGTATGCTTAGCTGTTAGGAGTGTATGTTTTGAAACTAGATTACCTGGGTTCAAATCCTGTGACAAGTTCTTCAAATTGTGTGTACTGAGTTTTCTAAGCTGTAAAATAGGGATTAGTATTATTAATAAACCTCAATGGGTTATTGTGAATATTAAATGAATTCTTACGTGTAAAGTACTTGGTGTACAGAGGGTTGTTCCAGGGTTCTGGTAGTAGACTGAAGTAACCTAAAATCAGCATGTGACTCCTGACGTGAATTATTATATTCCTCTCCTCCATATCTCAGTCAGTCCATCTGTGGTTACTTTTTGGAATGTTTATCTCCCTGAGGAGTGCCTCATTATTATAAAATTAGATACATTGCTTTTCAAAAAGGTGGCACTCTTTTCAGGTTAAACTTCATCTTGATACCTTTTTTCGGTTACATATCTGTGGGTTATTATTGTCAATAAAAAGTACATAATGCTAAATATTTTACTCATTTTTCTACCAGGACCCTTGGATCGTGCCCTTACTGTGACTATATGGTGAATTTACAACACTTGTAAAAAGACCATTTTGCTTCATACTCTTTTCTTCCTTTTAACCTTGACACAGCTAATGAGTTATAAAGAGATGGATAATATTGAAAAAATTGGCTCTGTAATTCTGTGCCAGTATATAGCTGACTTGTATGCTTTTTCAGGGCAATAAGTACTTCAAACAAGGAAAATATGATGAAGCGGTTGAGTGCTACACCAAAGGCATGAATGCTGATCCATATAATCCTGTGTTGCCAACAAACAGAGCATCAGCATACTTTAGAATGAAAAAGTAAGGAATTTCCATAATATGTGCATATTTTATGTGTATATGGAGACTGATATTTTAAATAATTTTTCGTGATAAAATGTGTAGGAGAACTGAAAAAGTACTGCTTTTCTTTTCAGCTGTAAATTCTTACAGTTCACTTCCTCTTACTGAGTTATTTAAGCCATTTTAAAACAGGTGCTCAAACAGTGCCCCCACAGCTCACTTTACTGATGAGTTCCTCTTCCAAAAATCAAATAATGATCTTCTTTACTTAATTCATGAGAGGAAAAAGAAGTTGGCTGGGTAAACATTTTTAGAAATCAGTTTCTTCCATTATTTTGAAAAATTATTTATCCACTCTTTAACCTAGAGAACTTTCATTATGGTACACTTAAAATATGTTCCAACATTTATCTTTAAGTCACACTGACTGTTTAGTTAAATACATTCTTACTGTTGAAAAACATAGATGTTTTATGGTCTTATTATAAGCAGCGGGCTGATCTATCATAAGAATTTTTAAAAAGACAAATACCATCAAGGAAGACATTCTTACTGTTTTAATTATTGTTTGAAAGTATGAATTATATTGGTTTCTGAGTTTTTACTATTTTAAATAGCATATTTTTAGACATTTTAAATCTATGCTATTAATATCCTGACAAATTAGGTGGATATTTGCATTGTGTAATTTTTGATATCTGCAATATACGTAAATGAAGAATAATTTTAAATAATTTCATATGAAGTCATCACACAACTTAAGAACCTTGATATGCCTTTTCATATCCTGACCTTTACCCCCCTCAGTTAACCACTATTTTGAATTGTATATTTATTACTCTTTTGATTAAGAAGTTCATTATATATGTATCCCTATATAATATATTGTATGAACTTGCTTATTTTTGAACTTTGAAAGTCTATTATACTGAATGTAATCTTAAATTTCTCTGAGTATTAAATTTTTCAGATTTGTCATGTTTTGCATATAGCTGTAGATCTCTCTTTTTCACTGTTAGATACAGTTTTTTTTAGGAATATACCATTATGTGTCCATTCTCCTGTTGCTGGATTGTTGATTTATTTCATTCTTCCTCTCCTTCCTTTCCTTTTCCCCACTTTCTCTACCTCCCACTCTCCTTTCTTTTCTTTCTTATTTGTAAACAATGACACTGTGAACACTTGACCACTTTTGTACATGTTTCTTGGTGCTGGGTGTAGGGTGTGCATATGTTCAACTTTAAATGGTGATGACCAGTTGTTACAAAAGTAGTTGTACAAATTTACATTTCCTATTAGTGGTATGTAAGAACACCCATTCCATATTTTTTAAAAAAAATTTTTTATTTAATTTATTGGGATGACATTGGTTAATAAAATCATATAGGGTTCAGGTGTACAATTTTGTAATACATCCTCTGTATATTGTATTATGTGTTTACCACCGCAGTTCCTGTTCTGTATTTTTAACCAATGCTGGTATAACAGGGCTTCTTAATTGTTTCCCATCAGGGGATTATAACAGGATAATTCATTGTGGTCTTAATATGCATTTTTCCAGTTTGCTTTTTTTTTTTAGTATTTTTAAATTTTATTTTTAAATCATGTTTATTTAATTACAGTTGTCTCAGTTTTTCCCCCTTTGCCCTCCTCCACCCATCCCACCCTGCCCCTCCCCATCAATTCCCACTCTGTTGTCCATGTCCATGGGTCATTCATACATGTTCTTTGTTTAGTCCCTTCTCTTTCTTTCCACCATTGTCCTCTTTCCCCATTCCCTCTGGTCACTTTCACTCTGCTCCATGTTTCCTTGCCTGTGGTTTATTTTGTTTGTTAGTTTATTTTGTTGAATAGATTACACTTATAGATGAGATGATATGGTATTTGTCTTTCACCGACTGGCTTATTTCACTTAGCATAGGTAGGAGTTCATTCTTTCTCTTCCTCCCTCCCTCCCTCCCTCCCTTCCTTCTTCCTTTCTTTCTTTTAAAATGCGGATTGATTTTATTTTTTTAAACGTCAAGATTGATGATAAAATATTAAAAAATTTAAATCCATTATAAAGTCTCAGCAATTAAAACAACATGACACCAGCACAGAAATAATCAAGTAGATCAATGAAATGAGCATTCTAGAAACAAATGTATATATCTGTCTAATAATGTAATATATGATTAAATTGATATTCAAATCAATGGGGAAAATAAGACTTATTCAACAAATAAGGTTCATGGACCATTATTACTTGAAATAAAATAAATATAGAGCCCTGTTTCACACATTATACAAAAAGTATTCAGGTGAGTTAAAAATCAGTATGTAAAATCTAAGGAGTTTTTGGAGAAAGTACAAAATAATATTTTTTTACCTTGAAGTTACATATTCAAACCCAGAAGCTATAAAGTAAAATATTGACAATATGACTATATTAAACATTTAAGACTATGTAGTAATATAGATATAAAAAAAGTTAAAGGACAAGTAATAGAATAGGAGAGTATTTGCAACACATCTAAAAAAGGGTTAATAGTTAATAGTTGTTTGGTTTTTTTAGGGCAAAAGTTCTACAAACAGTTAATCAAAAAATGGATAAAGAATACCAAAAAGTCATTTAAAGTTTTTTTAGAATAATAGAAATAGGCAAGAAATTGTACAAAAAAAGGTTTAGTTTCAACAAATAATAAAGTAACAATTAAAATAACATCATTGTCACAATCAGATTAATATGTATTAAAAATATTGGTAATATCAAGTATTGGTGACTGGGAAAGGAACTGAGTATTCATAGACTCTTTTTTCTTCATCTTAAAGCAGTCCCTTTAGCATATCTTGCAATGCCGGTTGGTGGAGATGTATTCTTTTAGTCTTCTTTTGTCAGGGAAACCTTATTTGGCCTTCCATTTTAAATGTGAGCCTTGCTGCGTAGAGCAGTCTTCGTTGCAGGCCTTTGCTTTTCACGACTTGGAATATTTCTTGCCATTCCCTTCTGGCTTGTTGAGTTTCTGTTGAGAAGTCAGCTGCTAGCCATACCGGGGCTCCCTTATACGTTACTACCTGTTTTCCCTTGCTTGCTTTAGGATTCTCTGTTTGTCTTTGATATTTGTCATTTTACTGATGATGTGACTTGGAGTGGGCCTCGTTGGGTTCCTCTTAAATGGGACCCTCTGTGTTTCCTGGACTTGTGTGACTTTTTCTCTCCTCCAGTTAGGGAAGTTTTCCATCACAACTTTTTCAAACAGGTTCTCTATCCCTTGCTCCTCTTGTTCTTCTTCTGGTATCCCTATTATACGGATATTATTATGTTTCAGGTTGTCCTGCATTTCCCTCAATGCCTCTTCATTCTTTTTGAGTCTTTTTTCATTTTCTTGCTCGTTCTGGGAGCTTTTTTCTACCTTATCCTCCAGCTCGCTGATTCGATCCTCTGCTTCATCTAGCCTGCTTTTGATTCCTTCTGCTGTGTTTTTCAATTCAGAAATTGTATTCTTCATTTCCTCTTGTCTCTTATTGATGGTTTCTATGTCCCTTTTTATGCTGATATAGTTTGCAGTAAGTTCCTCCTAGATTCTCTGCAGTTTTTTGTAATTCTCTCTGAGCTCACTGAGCTCATTGAGGTTCCTTAGAACCATTGTTTTGAACTCAATATCTGATAGTTTACTTGCCTCTATTTCATTTAGTTGTCTTTCTGGGGATTCCTCCTTTCCCTTCGACTGAGGGGTGTTTCTTTGTCTTCCCTTTAGTTGTGAGGCTTTTCTCTTTTGCTTCTGCTTCTTAAATTGATCTGTCTTGATTTCCTCACTTTGAGGTGTGAACTTCTATGGTACGAGACCGCTGTTTTTGTCTTTCTGGATCTGCCTCTGATGATGTCAGCTCTTGACCCTGTCTGATCTTAGGCAGTCTGTTCGAGACTTCCAGGAATCTACTGTGTGTGGCTGTCTCCTTCAGCTGTGAATCTAGTCACTGCATTCAGCAGGCTGGCTTAGAGACGCCACAGGGCTAGGCAGAGACCCTCCTTGGGGCGGGGTTATTGGGTCCTCTCACACTGCTATCACTCAGGGGAGTGGTCTGCCTGAGTCACATGGCTGCTGCCTTATGGGGGAGAAGTAAGCACTGGGATCCTACTAGCTACTCTTCCATTCTCTCCCCAAAGCCTCTGTCTCCAGTCTCTCATCAAGTGTCTCTAGACCACTCTGTGTCCCCTTTAGCCAGTGATCAGTAGAGATCTGTGGCTGCCACTCTACACTCAGCAGGCCAGCTTAGAGACACCACAGGGCGCGGCAGAGTCCCTCCTGAGGGCGGAGTTATTGGGTCTTCTCACGCCACTCAGGGGAGAGGTCTGCCTGAGCAAGATGGCTGCTGCCGTTTGGGTGATGAGTCAGCACTGGGATCCTGCCGGCTACTCTCTCAGTTCTCTCCTCCAAACCTCTTTCCCCAGTCTGTCCTAAGGCATCTCCAGCCCACTCTGCCCCCGCCTTTGTGGAAGCCCACAGTAAGTGGCTGCAAATAAAAATTTATCTGTTGGCCCTTTAAAGGGCTCTTTGCGTCTCCAGCTGCCTGTCTCTGGCAGAGCAACCCTGCCGCTTTTCACAGCTGGCTGTTATCTGTGTACTTTTTGGGCTCTGGTGCTGTAGGCTGGAGATCTCTGCTTATGGTTTAGACCCCACTCTTCTCAGGGGGATCCAGCTGTCCATTTCAGTTATCTTTCTGGTGCTGCCTCCCGTGGATGCCACGCCTGCCTTCTAGAATCTCTACCACACTCCTTACCAGTTAGGTTGTGTTAAATCTGATTCTTCTGTCTGTCCGAGGTTATAAGGCTCCTCTCTCGCTATTCAGTTGTTTGTTCCAGATGATTTCCCCACAATTTAGTTGTAACTCCAGGTTAGTCCTGGGAGGAGGTCAGTGTGACTTCCACTCACTCCTCCGCCATCTTGATTCTCTCACATTTCCCCACTTTCTGATGAGATTGATTATCTTATATGTTTATTCACCATTTATATTTTCTGTGGAATGCTTGTTTTGTCTTTTGACCATTTTTCTGCTGTTTTGCTATTAATTTTTAAGAGTTCTTTATTCTGGATACTAATCCTTGAGTGTTTGTTAATAGTAATTATATTCTCCTAATTTGTAGCTTATCTTCTTTCCTTTCTTTATGGAGTCTTGATAAACAGAAATTCATAACTTTAATTTGTTGATTTTTTTAAAAAAAAGTTAGCACTTTTAAAAATATGACTTGTTAAAATAGTTTTAATCGCTGGGCTCACAATAGTCCCTACAAAAGTTTTTATTTTTTACTTTTCACATATTCTAAAGGTAGTGTATGTTTTACTTTTTATGTATGCGAAGTATAGAATTCCAATTTCACATCTTTTCATATGACTATCCCAATTGTTCTAGCCCTAATTATTAACTATCCATGCTTTCATTATGGATCCACAATGCCACTGTGTCATATGTCAAGTTTGCATGATCTCTGTCTCTGTTCTTCATATTGATCTGTTGCCTATTACTGTACCCATTCTGCACTACCTTTAATTACTATAGCATTATAATTATAAGTCTTGGAATTTGGTTTAGGGAATGTTATCCTGCCTTATTCTTCAGGAATGTCTTGGGTGTTCTTGAATTTTTACTTATCAGTATACATTTTAGAATCATCTTGTCACAATCCTTGAAAAATTGTTTGGATTTTTATTAAAATTGCTTTGAATTTATAGATTAGTTTGGGGAGAATTGTATTGTTTTGCTTTTGTACCTTATAGATTAATGTGAAATATCTCCACTTAAGTTTTCCTTAATATTTTTGAAGATAGCCTTGCAGTTTTCTGTATGTGGGACTTGGACATTTTTTGTTAGATTTGTTTTTTGTTGCTGATCTCTAGTAAAGTAGCTAGCTTGCCAAACTTTGTGTTTTGTAACATTGTCTCCAGATATTTTGAGTTTTTTAGGTAAACCATTGTATCATCTGAGATTATCAGTTTTGTTCCTTCCTTTCCAGTCTTTTTAGCTGTCATTCTTTCTTATGGAACAGTATTATATTACTAGGACCTATAGTACAATTCTGAGAAAACAGACTGATAGTGGATATTCTTGTTCTTTGCTTTATATTGTACTTAGCATTTTACTATAAAAAATGACTGCTTTTACTGGGCTTCCTAAGTAAAAGGAAGTGAGAAACAGCCTTTTGGTTGGAAAATTCCCTTTTTGGAAATTTCAGAGACAAATTTTGAAGTTTTAGTTTAACAAATTATTAACTTTAATTTTTTTAATTGCAGGTTTGCTGTTGCTGAGTCTGATTGTAGTTTAGCAATTGCCTTGAATAGAAGTTATACAAAGGCTTATGCAAGACGAGGTGCTGCTCGATTTGCTTTGCAAAAATTAGAGGATGCCAAAAAAGGTATTTGTATTTTACAGGTCATCATTATCTAAAAAAATTCTTTAATGGTTTAATTTAAAAGATGTTATACAAAGAATATTGGATGATCACAATGAATATTTTCAGAGAGCTTTCTATATTTGAATAAAGTTCATTTTTATAATTTAAAAGTTATCTTGATATTTTGCAAAAGAATGCAGTATGTGCCACCAAGTAGACTTTGGTTCAGATTCTCATTCCACCATGTATTAGCTCTGTGATGAGGGGAAGGTTATATATCTTCTCTGATTTTCAGTTTGTCTTCTGTAAAATAGGGATGAAAGCATCTTGTTGGCGGTTGTGAGGCTAGAGGTAATGCATGTAAAGTTCTTAACACATTTGTATTTTATTACTCCATAAAATTGGTTTGTGTAATATAAATTATAGTCTGAATAAAGCCAGTATCTAAAAGGGTCTGCTGCTTTTTGGTTTTATGATGCACAGCTTAGGATGGCAAGTATCCTTCTTGGGGCTGGTGGGAGAAGGTGATCTGTAAGGATTTTGTCTGTCTTGGGCGTGAATGGGGAGAGACCAGTAGCCTAATGTTAGTATTTCTTAGTTCCTCTTAATTTTGCTTGGGACAGTTGCCTGTTTGTTATATGTATCAGCGCATGATTACTGTTTTTAAATATATATCTTTCAGATATTCTTTATTTTCTATTTTATTCAGATTATGAAAAAGTGTTAGAACTGGAACCAAATAACTTTGAAGCAACAAATGAACTCAGGAAAATTAATCAGGTAAACCAATTATTTAAACTAACTGCGTTACTTATCACCTTTATTTGATGAAGGATTTTAGCGTACGTTTTGTACTATAGATTATTTTGTAAGATTTTATTTATTTATTTTTAGAGAAATGAGAAAGGAGGGAGAAAGAGAAGGAGAGAGACATCGATGTGTGAGAGATACGTTGATAGTTACCTCTCTCATACTCCTAACTGGGGACCTGGCTTGCATGTATCCTGACTGGGAGTCGAACCAGCAACCTTTTGGTTCGCAGGCCGGCACTCAATCCACTGAGCCACACCAGTCAGGGTGTACTATAGATTATTTAATATAGGCACTTTTCTAATTTTAATTCTTTGTACTATAGAGTTTTACCAAACAAATTTGCAAATAAGAGGTGGTAATAATGGTATTTAAAGAATCTTAATTAATCACCACCTTAGAAAATTGTCTGAGATCTTTAAAACTAGTGTTGCTTTACTTTTTCTCCAAGTGACAGAATTATTTTTCATTATCTCACTGATTTTTTGTTTGTTTGTTTTGGCATGTGCTTTGATTTCTGTACTAAACTTTTGCATATTTCTTTGATTTCGTAATTTTTAAGCTGCATCTTTGTACCTTTTAGCAAAAATCTTACTAATTCTTTTAACAGTAAGGAGATAGTTAGTACTTAAATGTAAAGTTTGTTGTGAAATGGTACTTAACAGTTATGTTCCTTTCACTTTGCTGTTGAATCAGTTATAATTATTTTACCATCTGTTGAAACTGAGAAAGAAGTGATGATGATTGGGGAAAATCTGCTTTTAAATACTGCCACTCTTATTGCACATGAATTCTGTTGGTAAATATATCAACTGGTTATAATTGTGAGCTGTATTGTATATTTTTTATATTTTGATAAAATATAGATTAAGTAATGACTGAAAATTAAATTTGAGAAGATTGGGGATGTAGCCTTAATTACCTATTTTATTTTTGAAAATAGTTCTTAGAACAGTACCTTGTCTGTAGAAATTCAATAAATATTTGTTGAATAAATAAATGAACACCTACATTCTGTGGATCCTACTTATTTTAATTGAAATAAGGTGCACATTAAATTTATTATAGTCTTTTGCTTTTAAATAAGTAGAAAGACTTTGAATTAATAAAAAGATTATTTTGTGAAATGTGGCAGAAATTCTAATATATTTGAGTAGTTTAGTATTTTAGAGTCAAAAATGTATGCATCTTGCATTACTTGTTTTAGTTTTGCTGCTATGTCTCCTAGGCTTTAACATCCAAAGAAAACTCACACCCAAAGGAAGCTGACACAATGATTAAGTCAACTGAAGGAGAGAAAAAACAAGTTGAAGAGCAACAGAATAAGCAGCAGGCCATTTCAGAGAAAGATCTGGTAATCCAGAGGAATTCCAACATATATATGATTTGCTGAGTTTACTCTTAGTTTCTTATATATTAGTTAAGTTTCTGTCTTTTCTCACATTGTATTAAAATTCTTTTTCAGTAGGAACTGAAAATTAAATATAATAAAACTTCTGGATCCTATTAATTCAAAGTTTGAGTAATTGATAACTTAATACATAATTAAAAAAATTTAATTTTAGGGAACAAATTGAGCATTTTAACGTGTAAACTATATTTACATGTAGTTATAAATTAACAAATAAATTATAATTCATTCTTATTTATAATTCCTTTTTTTTAAAAATTAGTTCACACTGGACTATTTCTGATCAAAAATTCCAGTACGGATCCTGAGTTGAGGAATTTTATATTTATAGCTTTCAGGGAGCACAGAGGACTCCTAATAAATATATATTTATAGCTTTCAGGGACCGCTGAGGACTCCTAATAAATACTTATGGAATGATTATTGATTGTGATATATCTGACTTTGATTATAAATAAATGTTAGAATGAATTCTAGTACACATACTTCAGTACAGTTCAATTTATCCTGTGATTAGGTATATGAATGTTACTGAAGACTGAGTGGTGCAGTTCTGGTATTCTGTTCTTTCACAAAAATTATTTGAGTTACAGTTCTTTCCTATGGTTTCTAATATAACTAAAGAATATACTATTTTAGCCTATATTAAAATGTGTTTTTAAATATAAGCTTTGAGATACTTAATTAGTAGAACAATGGTTAATGCTGCAAAGTAATAGAGTAGTATACATTTTTTTCTTTCTAGTACTGCAGAGAATATCCCCTTTCTATAAAACAACCCAAACAGATTCTGTTACATATATCATGGTCTAGATTTTCAGCAATTAAAATATGCTTTATTTATATAATGAATTGATGAGTATCCTTGCAGTGTTTCTTAAGATTTGAATCCAACTAATTTTTGCATATGTTTTCATTCTTTTCCATACTTCTATCCAAAATGATAGGGGAATGGATTTTTCAAAGAGGGAAAATATGAAAGAGCAATTGAATGCTATACTCGAGGGATAGCAGCAGATGGCACTAACGCCCTTCTTCCAGCTAACAGAGCAATGGCCTATCTGAAGATTCAGAAGTAGGTATTGGTTACATTTAATGCTTTTCGGGGCAAAAGTGAAATTTACCGTAAATCAGCATATTGGATAAATATATTAAAACATTTATTCTTAGGCATTAAAGTTAAAATGAGAGAGAGAGGGCAGGGGAGAGAAAGGCTGTGTGTGTGTGTGTGTGTGTGTGTGTGTGTGTGTGAGTTACAGTAAATATAAAGTGAATTTAGCTCTCGTAAATGTTTTTCCACTTTAATAGTCTGGCATTATGCAGTTCAATGCTTTTTAAATTTCTTTATGCATGTTATTCTGGATTAGTGATTTGAAAATTATTTTTAACCTTACAATCCTTTGGGCAAGGTCTTCTCTGGAAAGTGTTTTTTTATACACACACACACACACACACACACACACACACACACACGGGTATTGCTGTCATTGAAACTACTAGTTGATTATATATGTAGCTAAAACTTGGTCCTGTGATATTCGCCAGCTGCTTCTGGATCCAGGTAGGGGTTCCAGGTTGGGCATTGAGCAAGATAATACCTGATGGCAGAAACTGCCTTACATTTCTTTGTATATTCTGTAATAATACTTTACATACTAGTGACAGAATTTTTTTAATGCTATAAATATGATAAATAGGGATTATAAACTTCTTTGTGCCATGGACCCCTTTAGCTACATTGTGAACCTTTCTCAAAATAATTTTTAAATGTATAATTACATATTTAGGATTATAAAGGAAACCAATTATATTGAAGTGTACTTTTTAAAGCACACTACATAATGAGAAACTATTTGAAATATAGACAAGTTAAAATTAAAAATTTTTTAAAGACAGTAATGTGAAGGTTTGAATAAGGACACTAGAATTTGGGGTGATCTTTCACACATTTTTCTACATATTGATTAACCAATAACTGTAGATAAGGAATACTCAGAAAGCAACGTTGATGATTATGTTACTAGTGTTATAACATATGATTTTACTCTTTGGCATTTGATTGACTACCAAGGATAGAGTTGCCCAGCTGTTAGCTAGCTATGATATGGTACATCTGAAACAGGAGTTCTGACAACCACATGCAAACAAGTAGCAGGTTAAGTTGCTACTGTAATACTGAAAACAGTATTTTGAGATATCTGCTTTTACTACTGTGGTTTGTTACTACAGTTTTAATGGAAAGAAAAGCAAAATTTTATTTAAAAGTAAGTGAAAATAAGGATGTAATATTTTTCCCATCCAAGTTTTCACATCTCTCAAAGGGCCTCATGTTGGGAACCCCTGTTGTAGAATTAAATTTAGGTTGTATATTTAACCTCCTTAAAACTAATAGACATAAGTAGAGATACATTATTTTGATTAGTCAGAGTAAAGATCATTGCATGTCTTTCTAGCTTATGAAAATTTTGTGTTTGCTATTTAAGAATTGTGCATGATTTAAAAATTGTAAGACCTGGATTCTTAGGTTTGGCTAATGCCAAGAATAATACCTTCTAATAGGTGAGAGATTACACTACATTTATTCATTTATTTTTAATAGTTCGCTTTTTATTGTATTTTTTCCATTACCATTTATCCCCATAATACCCTCTTCTACCTCTACCCCTCCCACAATCACCACTTATATCTACATTTATAAGAGCTCTGATTTACTGTATTATTTTACTGTTTTAGTTGGTAATCACATTAGTATATTATAACAAGTTAATGGTATATTTTAAATTAAATATGACTTATTTGTATTTTTTGTCTAGTGTATCATTTAGATTCACACTTAATGCAGAAGTTTTCTGTACTCATGGTGACTGCTGTCAGGCATTACAAACTAGATGAAGAATATGAAAAGGGGCAACGTTCCAAACAAGAATTTGAACTGAACTGAGATCTAAAGGGTTAGTCTGAGTTTGTGAGGTGAAAAAGTAGGTTGAGTGTGTCCCAGTGGAGGTTCAAAGACTTAGGAGTGGGAAATTTCTCGGTAACTTCTAGAAAGGGTAAGCGGTCCGAGTTATGGCTGTTATGCAGGGGATAATGGCAAGGATCTGGCCGGAGAGGCAGGCAGGCCCCTGACTTTGTGCTCTGCGAAGGAGCTTGACTTTCTCCTGAACAGTGTGGGGTCTGTGCAAGTATCATGAATGGGAGAATGGTAAATCAGTCAGGTAGGAAATACGTTGATACAGGCATGGACACACACACACAGACCTTTCTTGTATAAAAATGAATGAAAGAATTCAGAAATGTTTACGTTTACTAGAAAATCTGATTTTGTTCACATTAGGGCTTGTTTTGAGGGTAGAATAGTATTCACTTAGGCCTTGAGGAGAATGTAATCATAGGAGATTGTTTTAAAAAAATATTTTCAGTATGAAACTTGTTTCAGATTTTCATGAAAGTATTAAAACAGGCTCTAGGTACCAAATCATATAATTTCATAAGGCCATACCTTTTTTGGTCATACTTGTTTCAGCTTTTATCCCACCTGAAATACTGTAAGTAGTTGCAGACATGACATTTCATCCATAAAGGATAATCTATGCATAACCACAATACTGTTATCATGCCAGATAAATTTGCAATAATTCATTAATGTAATTTTAATATATACGAGGGTCTCAAGTTTTTGTGTTTCAGCTCTCCTTAGCTGCTTGCTATCATAGAGCAGTACCCAGTCAGACTGAACTGACTGGTTGCATGACGGAGTACAATTTATGAATAAAGTGTCAGAGGATATACTCTCACACATAATGTTTTGTGTGGATTGTTTTTCCTTAGGTGATGTGTACTGCAGGTAAATGTTAATGAAGTTTTATTAGAAAATTAATACCAATTATCATTGTTAACATAGCGTGTGGGCATATTGAGGGTTGGAGAGAAAATAGACTGCCAGCAGCGCTGTTCTTTTGTCTGCTCTACTCATATTTTACCATCCTAATTCCATCCTTTTCTGACTTTCCTTTAATCTGGTACCTTCTCCCTCCTTACCAGATGCTTCCAAGATTTGGTGAGAATATAAAATTTTACAGTTGTTTTTTTTCCCCCCTCAAACACAGATTTGGGGGTTGGTAATTGAAATTATATGCATGCTTTTTATATTAGAAACTCAGTTTATATGAAGTTTTTCTGGAGGCTGCATTTTTCAGTTGGTAATTGTATCATGTTTAATAGATATGAAGAGGCTGAAAAAGATTGCTCACAAGCTATTTTATTAGATGGCTCGTATTCTAAAGCTTTTGCCAGAAGAGGAACTGCAAGAACATTTTTGGGAAAATTAAACGAGGCCAAACAAGGTATGACTCTTTCTATAACAGATGGCACTCACTCATCCTGATGAGATTCCCAAGTTACAGAGGCAGGTTGTGTAGCCTTGCCATGGCTCAAGGATACAGAACTTAGAGAAGTACATTTTCTTTTGCAATTTAGATCATAAACAAGTGTGCAGATTTGAAGGAATGCAGCTTCTGTGGTAGACCTGATTATCTTTTAATAGCGTATAGTATAATCTGGCTAGTTGCCAGTCAAAATTAGTGAAAGACTTGAACTATAGGTGAGAAGGAAAAAAAGCAAGAAAAAGGCAAGAATGAAAAAAAGGGATCACCAGCTAGGGTAGAAGATAATGTGAGGTCTGTAGTGATGCCCCCTCCCCTTTTTTCTTGATACTAGTTATGTGTTCTTTTATTTTTCCATGATCTGTCTTTTAAGTATTTGTTCGTCTTTTTGAAGGACCTACTTGTGTCTGTTGTGTATGTTTTCTGTTTATTTTATTTGTTCATTATCTGTTCATTTATTTTTGCTCTTTATTTCCTTGCTTCAACTGTCTTTAGGTTTACGATTTGCAATTTTTCTAACTTCTGAACATCAATACTTCAATAATTGTTTTTTAGTCTTTCTTCTTTCCCAATATGTGCATTTAAACCTGTCAGTTTCTCCCTGAGCCTGGCTTTAGCTATAGCCCATGTGTTTGTTCCTTATGGTAAAATACACAGAACATAAAATTTACTGTTCTAACCATATTGAGTACATTTAGCTTGTGCAACCATCACCATTATACATCTCCAGAACTCTTTTATTTCATCCTGAAAACTGTGCTCATTAAAAAGTTACTCTCCATTCTCTTTCTCCAGCCCCTTGGTAGCCACCATTCCATTTCCTATCCCTGAATATGACTATTTGAGGTACTTCATATGAGTAGAATTACAGTATTTTGTCCTTTCATGTCTAGCTTATTTCACTTAGCATAATGTCGTGTAAGGCTCATCCATTCATCCATGTTGTAGCATGTATCACAATTCAATTCCTTTTTAAGCCTGAATAATATCTCATTATATGGAATTATCATAGATTCTATCTTACCTGGCCATTTGTTAACAGTGTGAACTTTGGATGACCTCTAGGCCTCAGTTGTATCATCTGTAAAGTGCGGTTTTAGTGAGGGATATGTGAGAATTCATACAAAGAATAGCACTCAGTAAATGTTAGCTGTTGTTATTGCTTACCGCTTTTGTAGCTTCTTGAGATAAACATGGGATTACTAAACTAACTAAATATATCATGTCTTGAACTTTATAAAGTATTTTCACTAATTTATTATATTTCTTAAAAATTCATTTTAGATTTTGAAACTGTCTTACTTCTGGAACCTGGAAATAAACAAGCAGTAACTGAACTTTCCAAAATTAAAAAGGTAATGTATTTTTTCACTGAAGTGTGCTTTTATTTCCTGCAGCATAAACAGATTTATTTGTTGCATAATTAACTTGAGAATATTTTTATAGTCATTACAAATTTATTTTCAAGGAATTAATTGAGAAAGGACAGTGGGATGATGTCTTTCTTGATTCTACTCAAAGGCAGAATGTGATAAAACCTGTTGATAATCCACCTCGTCTTGGATCAACTGTAAGTAAAGCACTTTTTATATCAGTGTGGTATGAATAGGAGATGGAAGTTGTTGAATTAATAATCTCTTAAAAGAAATGTTGAAATCTCTTCTCAGGGCTATTTTTAGAGTATTTAAAAATACTTTTTAGGATTATTGATGTAATAACATTGGGGGGAACAATTGAGCTATTGAAAATTCTGGAGTAACTTCTAAAGTACCTTTAGTTTAATACCATAAATTTAAATGTTTCCACGTATTTTCTGATATTAAAGGAATTTAAAGCAGTGTTGCATTTGGTAATACTTAAGAATGTTTTATTATTATTCTTATTTGACATTGGGGTTGTATTATAATAGTTTTCCATCTTATGTGGGGTTAGATCTAAAATCAGCACTTAGGCAAAATCTTGTATAGGCGAGATTGTATTTTAAAATATGTTCTGCATATTGTTTTTGGTATACCATACTGTTTTTCACTAAGTAACAAAGCCAAGTTTTTTCCTGCAATATTGGAACAAAAAGAGTAGCTGGCGTGAATTCAGAAGTTTGTTTTGTGCTGAACTTTTAAAATTGAACTCATTTAAGGCAAATATATAATGTGATTCTAAGGTAGTTTCTATCATTGACACAGTTTTATATATTATATATAGAGAGAAAGATAAAATACATACAGAAAAGTACACAAGATCAGTTAAGAATTAAAGAGTAATTATAAAGTGAACAACCATGAAACCACCAACCAGGTCGAAAAATTGAAAGGCATCAGCTCCCTGCAAATTTCCCTGCGTGCTCCTCACTGATTATGATCTTCTTGCCGCCCCCTAGAGTTAACTGTTATGCATGGATGTTGTTGTGAGAGAAATAACAACTTTATAAGAAGTCAGAGCAGATATTTTTATTCTTTTTTTTTTTCACAAAGAGAGGCGAAGAATATTTAATTGATTGTTTTGTCAAGCTCATATTTCATATTAGTAGCAGATACAGGAATCCTTAGTTCAATACTTTTCCAGTGTTCTTTTTTTCTTTCTCCCAGTGTTCTTACTGTGACTTTATTTGTGAATTTTCTGAGACTGCTTTCATAACATTATATTCATTTTCATTTATTATATTCATTTGCTATTCTTTTCAGTAAAGGTGATTAAATTTCTACATTTTTGTAAGACTTCTTCACAGAAATGAATTCACAGGTTTTAAGAAAGCCTTTGTCATACTGTTCTGTCCATAATTATAAAACATTGCGTGTTACATAGCAAATACCTGTGTATATAATGTCCCGTGGCCAAGATACTTTCAGCAGCTTTTATAAATCTGTGGGGTTCTCTCCTCCCTCACTTTAAAAATCAATTTATATTAATAGTTGTGAGGATGCAACATGAATTTAAGTCTCTTGTACAATTTCAAAACAAAACACCTCTCTGCAGTGAGAAATCTGGTGTTAACCATTGTATAAGTGATCCAGCACAAACAAAGTTACTATCCTAGTGGGAAAGGGGAAACAGCTGTTTATTTTTATAATAGGCCTCCATAAAAAAAATGTGAGCATTATGTAAAAACAAAAGGCACAGTTTGGCATAATGCTTTTTAAGAGTTGATTTGAGTCCCCCTCTTTATAAACTTCCAAATCCTAGGCAAGTTACCCAGTACCTGTGTGATCCTGTCTCTCAAGGTTCAGAATAACTCACAGATTAGTTGAGATCAAAGGAATAATATCCATTTAATACTAAAGCAGTGTCAGGTGAAACAAGTGTTAATTTCTTTTTCAGATATATTTGTCAGTCTACCTGGCCACTGAGGAAGTTGGTTGGGGAAGGAAGGAAATCTAGTAAGTGGAGAGAGAGTTCTAGGGTTGGTTACTTCAGTCAATTTAGAGGCTAGGACAAGGTAGCCTGTGCTTTAAGGGCTGGCAGCTTGGGAGTACTTTGGGCAAATTTCCAGAGAGAGTGTGGGAAACCAGTGATACAGATAAGCTCAGCTAGGGCCTGGGGTTCCCTGATAGGGTTGTAGTAAGTGAAAGTTTTCCCTGATCTTTTAGTTTTTGCTAAAATGAATGAATGAGTGAACGGATGAATGACTATTATTTTTAATCCTCACCTGAGTATATTTTTACTGATTTTAGAGGGTGGTGGGGGAGAGAGAGAAAGAGAAACATGGATGTGGCAGAAACTTCATCAGTTGCCTCCCATACTTGCCCCGACCAGGGATTGAACTTGCAACCTAGGTATATACCCTGACTGAGGATCGAACCCAGAGCCTTTGGTGTATGGGATGACACTCCCACCAACTGAGCCACCTGGCGAGGGCAAAGGTTTTAATATTTATAACTTTTTTGATTTAAAATTCAACTATACAATTGGATTGAACACTTGCAGTATACTGAAGAAAGTTTATCGTTAAAAATAAGCACAATATGTAAACTTCAGAAGAAATTGAAAATGTTTGACACTGTAATGATTGAAATAGTGAATGAAATTTATTTTATTAAATTAGAAACCATTATTATGGTCAAATACTTCCTGAATTTGTGAATATTTTTTGGCAAACCTTTAATCCTGGGCTAGTTTTATCCTGCTGCTGCTTATATAGCAAATGCGCTTAGGTTTTAATTTTGGTCTTTTTCATACAGAATGCTGATTATTGCCTGGCTTTGTTCTTTTTGCCTTCCATTAGGCCACAACATTGCTGTCAATTTGGTCATAATTTTTTCTTGGCTTTATTGCCTCTAGAATAAAGTCCAACTCTTTAGCATGGCACACAAATCCCTTTATAAGCTGTTCTTAAGGAACCTTGCAGGCTTTGTCTCCATCACTCCTCCCCTTGCACCAGCCCCATTGGACTTAGCACCTGTCACTCACCATACTGTAATTATCTTCCACATTATCATTCTTGTGTACTTTTTCTGTGAAGTCCCCGCTGATGCCAGTGTTTATCTTCATCTGTGTTTTCGTAGAGTTATGTCTTTTCACCTTTTATGGTGTGTATCCCATTGCCTTGTAATTATTTACATACACATATTCTTTCCCCCATTTAGACCAGCATGTGGTAGATGCTAAGCATCTTTTTATTTGTATTCTCAGACAGCATATAACTCCTAAGTCTGTCTAGCCATCAAATTGAATTTACATATAATTGGGACATTGTAAGAACACTGAAACCTTTTAATTTGTAACCCTAAAATAGAAAACCTTTATGTGTTGATTTAAGGAATTGATTTTAATTATTTTAGAAACCACTCAAGAAGGTTATTATTGAAGAAACTGGTCATTTGATACAGACTGTTGATGTGCCAGATAGCACTACTGCTGCTCCAGAGAGTAATCCTATTAATCTGGCAAATGTAATAGCAACCACAGGCACTGCAAGTAAGAAAAATTCAAGCCAAGATGACCTTTTGCCCACAAGTGATATCCCAAAAGCAAAAGTACTGAAAACAGAAGAAATCAGTGATACTTCAGCCCAGCAGTAAGTGGAAATAACTCTTATTTGTTAATCTCTAGAATTGTAAATCCAGACCCAGGATTTAATAATTCCACTAGAAAATTGATATTATCAATGAGAGTTTTGGTTTGTACTCATCATTGTAATTTTTTGAACTACTCAACTTCATGTTCTGGTTTTTTCTTTTTTTGTTCTTACTCTTCAGAGACATTTTGCGTAAGGAATGATAACTGGCCCTTTACCATTGGGGGGAAGTTAGAGATCCTAAGAAACTATCTTTAACAAATTGATTTTGTTCATTTTTTTCTAGAATGGTAGTATATTGTTTCATTTCTTAATTCAGCTAAAAAATTAATTTATTAAAAGGGAGCTTCTAAAAAATGTAGAATTCAGGCATTAACATTACTCTAGCCATTCATACTTAAGATTATTTGTGGGCTGTTTAAATTTTGTTTGGAATTTTTAAAAATAGTCATGTGTTTCCTTAATGATGAGAATATGAAAATATAGACTAGGCTTTTTGGGGGTATTGAAACTTTATTCATCTGTTCTGCATTGCACTCAACAATCCTATTAGAAGATTTTTCTTAAACTTTGAATTTTAGTAGTAGTTCTATTTAAAGTGAGAGTATGGATTATGGAAAAATATTAAATAGGTAGGGTTTTTTTTTCTCTAAAGGAGGAAGTATTTCTTCCTTCTCAAACTATCTTTCTTGAAAATGATTATTCAGATTTCTGAAGGGCTGAGTCGTAAGCATGTGTGATGCAGTGATGCAGTGTATAGAAGTGGTGAGCTCAAAAGGTGGCCGGGCTAGTAGCCTGACAGGTTGCAGAAGGATAATCTGTCTTGCAAAAAATGTATTATCAGCTAAAAGAATTTACTATTTTTAGAATGTAAATAGATGATGTAGTATTAGTAAAATCAGAAATTTAAAAGTCTCTATTGTTTTCTTATATAAGCTTTGACTAATTTTTGTTCTTTTTGTTTTGTGTCTATGAAATATTTGAGACCTCAAGTTAATTTGAAACAGGATGTATGTCAGTCATTCAGTGAGAAGATTTCTATAGAGGTAGACAAAATACCGGCTCAGTTTATCACAGCTGTTCTTCCTCCAGTTCCTACAAACTCCTTTCAGCTTGAATCTGATTTTAGACAACTGAAAAGTTCTCCAGAAATGTTGTATCAGTATTTGAAGGTAAGACAGAGGAAGCTAGTAGTTCTATTGTAAATTAAAGGTCAGAGAATGTCTTTGTCATTTTATGGGGGAGGACCCAAAAAACCCCATAATTATCTTCTGGAGGGCAGGCCCCTTGTAGTGCAGGCTTCCCCTGCTGGGTGAGTGTTCTAGGAACCCATCTGTATCAGTGTGCCAGCTGGTGTCGGGAGAGGCTGTGTTCAGCTTCAGTGAATTTTTTTTTGAAGACTCTTTTCAGTGCATTTGCCTGTTTCGTGATGGGTGATTTATGAGGGCACCTGCCCACACTGCACTGAGTGTTCAGCCGTTTTTGACCAAAAACGGCATGACTGCCATGCCCCACCTTCTATACACCTGATCCCGCCCTGAGCATCTTTTTTTGTTTTCCCGGGTGAAAAAATTCCTTAAAGGGAAATGTTTTGCCATTGTGGAGGAGGTGAAACTAAAAAATGTCTGAAGCACTAAAAGGCATTAAAATCGACGTGTTCAACAACTGTTTTGAACAGTGGGAAGAAAGTCTTAATAGGTGTACTGCGTCAAATGAAGAGTAATTTGAAGGTGATTGAAATTTAAGCATGTAAGAATAAATACACAAGTTTTTATAAATAAATTGTTATTTTGGATCCCCCCTTGTATAATAATGTTATATTTGCTTTTTATATAATATGATTATAGAAACTGCTCTTATTATCCCTTGCCTGACACATATATCACCCTGGCCAGACCATTTTAAGTATTTGCAACCAGGAAACCTTTGGAATTAGGTTCTCTTTTGAAATCTCTTGTCTAAAATTAACTTAATCTGATTTCATATATTATAACTTCCACTTAATTCTTCATCCTTCAAGATGGGACAAAAGCTAAAATACATTGACTGTCTTCTTTGTGCAAGTAATACTTGCAATATTTAGGCAACCATTCTCCTCAAAATGAGTTTTTATTTATTCAAAGGAAAAGAAATCATGAAGTTTACCAAATAATGGATTAACATAGTTTTTCTCCAGTGTAATTATAGTAATACTCCCTTATAATTATGCAGTATTCATTTATTTCCAAATGTATATTATCTCATATAATTTTATTTTTTAAACTCTCCCTTTTTATTGTCCCTTTAGAGCTCTCAAGTTTCCTGTCTTTCTTAGGGTGGTGTACTTCTCTTCATGAGGTTTTTCTTTGACTTGTACAGGGTGATTATCTTACAGTTCCTCTAACCTTCTTTCTTCTTTCATTAATTACATTTTGGTGTGACTTCCTTCACCCCCAATAATGCAAATGTATAGAAGTTATTTTTTTTAAGATTTTATTTATTTATTTTTAGAGAGAGGGGAAAGAAGGGGGAAAGAGAGGGAGAGAAACATGATGTGCAAGAGAAATAGCAGTTGGTTGCGTCTCTCAATGCCCCCACCTGGGGACCTGGCTTGCAATCCAGGAATATGCCCTGACTGGGAATCGAACTGGTAACCTTTTATGCCGTAGGTCATTGCTCAATTCACTGAGCCAGACAAGTGAGGGCATAGTACTCTTTACTATAGTCACCTAAGCAGTTATTATATAAGTAATTTATATGTGAATGTTGCCATAATTTAATTTTCTAACTATTTTTTTCCCCAAGAAAATTGAACCATCCTTATATCCTAAGTTGTTTCAGAAAAACCTAGATCCAGATGTGTTCAACCAAATCACGAAAATTCTGCATGACTTTTACATTGAGTAAGTTGAAATTTTTTCAATTATACTTTCATCTTGTAGTGCTGTGCTGTTTCTAGTAGTTTGGGAAATTCATTTGTTTTGATATTATTACTACCTTCTATATAGCAAAATTAGCTCTCTAGAAAATTTTACTATTGCAGAAGTTGTAAAGAGATAAGTGCAAGCAGTAATAAGAGAAATGATTAAATAGGAGGAAAAAGGATTAATTTTTTAAAAGAGAAAAATAGTGTATGGAATTGACAAGTGTTAATAAAATAATAATGTCTGTGCTAAGCCTCACATTTGAGAATATTGTAATTTCTTCAATTGACTTGATAAATTTCTTCATTTGGGCTCTTAAAGACTTTATTCAGGGCAAAAGATAAATGAAGACCTTATTTATATATAATTACAAATACTTAAATGAGCTACTTTTAATGGGTCATTTGTATGATATTTGGTTTATTTCAGGAAAGAAAAGCCACCACTCATCTTGGAAGTTTTACAACGGCTTTCTGAACTAAAAAGGTTTGATATGGCAGTGATGTTTATGTCAGAATCTGAGAAGAAAAGTAAGTTCTGTGAAGAAAGCTTTTCAATATCTCTGAGTCTTATATTATTCCTTAATTTTTAAACAAATTATAGCAAACATTTATTGAATGTGTACTATGTCCAAGGTACATACAATTAAATTTAAATTAATTGTAATTAAGTAAAGTTAAACATTTTAATTCTGACAGTAACACTATGAGGTGTTGGTATGATTATCGTTTCACTTTTACAAAGGCAGAAACTGAGGCATGGGGAGGTGAGGAATGTGATGGAGTCATGTGGCTAGGATGTCAGAGCCAGGATTTAAACTTAGGCAGTCCTGCTCTAGAGCCTGGTCTGTCCTACTTGAAAATGCAGTAATAACAGAATGGTTGAACTCCTGCCATTGTGGAACAATTAAAGGTTCCTTGTCACATGGGACCTGTAACTGGGCGTGGGTCCGCCGGGAATATAATGCTTCTGTGAGAGCTCATTTCCTTGTGTTTGATTTAAGATGAATTCTCAAAGAAGTGCAGGATTCAGTTCGGTGAAGCAGGTAGGGAGGAGTTTTAGATTGAGGGAATGAGGTGTTCTGGGGCTCTGAAGCAGGAAAGAGCCAACTGAGTTTAGAAAACTAAAAGATGAGCTGTGTGGCTGGATTGTAGAATTACAGGGGTAAAGAGGGGCAGGTGATGAGCCTAAGAATTAGATCTGTTACTTATTTTTTATCTCAGTCTTTGGCAGAAAGTGTCCATTTTGGGAAACCCTAATTTAAGTAAGATCAAACTCTGCAGAGGATTTTGGGCTATACTGTGGTTTTGGGAAAAAGAAAAATCATAGAATATCAGAGGACCAGTTTTTTTAAAGATAGCAAAAATTTGTACCACTTTTAGACCTCTTAGGCTAAATGTACTCTGGCCTCCTTATTTCTTTATGTTTCTAGCAGTGACATTGAATGAGCCTTAGTAAGAGAAATACTCTTTATGTTGTACTTAGAGAACTGGATGTATAATTTAGGGAGATTTTTAGAGTTTAAACCAAAAGACGTTTCTGCTTTATTTTCAGTTAATCAAAAATAATCCTTGAAATTCCTTGAGAAGTATTAATCTTACTTATTACTATTCTGATATGATCTTCTACTTTTTTCACTCGCTGTGCCCCGTTACACCACTTTGTGTTTTTTTTAATAAACCGAATTACCAGACCTAATTTAAGCCCAGGAGCTTTGCATTTGGCTGTTCCCTCAGCCTGGAATGCAGGGTCTGGCAGAAGTAACGCCTGCGTGGGCTGGTAGGTAAGTGGAAGTCTCGCATGAGAGGGACAGCAACTTGAACATTTCACCTAAACTGTCACATGGTGTGCTTGAGTGTGATATTGTTATGTTACAGAATTACATGCTTATGATTTTGTAATAAAAAAGTGGGCATTATTTGTGGCAGACCCTGTATCTTCCCACCTTGCCTGCTTCCTCGGTTTAAGTTTCCACCTAACAGACAGCATTTCGGAGATACCTTTTTTCACCAGCCCTAGTTAAAATAACTGCCTGTCTACCCTCCTTCGCCACCCTGTGTATTCTTACCCTGTTTTATTTTTCTTCGTAATACATAACTAGCTGATGGTATTTCATGTACATGTTTATTATTTCTCTCCCTATTAGAACGAAAGCTCCATGAGAGCAGGAACTTTGTCTGCCCTGGTTTCTAGGTCTTAGGCATAGAGCAGTGCTTAGTACATACTAACCTTTTAGTATAAGCATGTTGAGTGAGTGAATTTCTTGCCGCTATAATGTGATTAAGTTCAGTTGTACTCAAAGGATGTGGGTTGGCTCTTCAGACTGGCCTTCCATCGTGGCTGGGTCACCACTGTTCACTGAGTTAAAACATGGGAAGCACTTATGGTTCCTGGCATGTAACTAAACATCCAGTAAACACTAGCTGCTGTTATCTCCTGTTGTTGCCATTATCATTGACAACTATGAGCTAGTTTTAATGTTGAGAAAAAGATGAACTATAACAGTGTGTTCCAAAGGGTTGAGTGTGGACCATTCAGTAGTGGGAAAGATAAAGATTTTACATGGTTCATAGGAAGAGCTTTTAACTCTGTATGGTTATATATTTTATTTTATTACATATTATACAACTGTATAACTAGTCCATCAAACATGATTTGGTAGGTAAGCTAATTTTCAATTTAGAATAGTGATACAAAATTTTCTTCTAAAATGATTTAAGTTTGAAAAACAGTTAATTATAATGCTAAGTATAAGTGTTCTTGTTAAATACAGTAAAAATTTTAGGAAGCTCAGAATGAGTTAAGTTTAATCTGCAAGAATGTCACTGAAGTCTATGGGAAATTTTTTACTGCTAAAGGAAAATATTCTGGTAAGAAACATTGAATTGCTGTATAATTTCCTGCTCCTGGGTTGGCTTTTTTAAATATCTGAATTAGAATTTATAAATAATCTTAATAATTATTGCTTTCAAATGTAAAGTATTTTATTTGACAGATAAGATTATTCCCTTTAATTTTTGTTTCTCTTAAGTTTTTAAAATGGAAATTAAAATGGACACTTCTTTTTCTTTTTCAGTTGTACATGTATTATTCAATCACATAGAGAAATCAGGATTGGATGGTAATTCTGTTGAAGAACTCAAGAAAAGATATGGTGGTTGATTTCCATTTTTACCAAAATTGTCGTTTCTGACCTTCACATGTAAATTTTTTTCTATGGAAATAAAGTGTTTTGTTTTCTTTTTATGAAAATGAAATCATACAGGAGAGTATGATTTGGATATCTTTGGATATAAGTTAATTAACTATTAAGTGAATTGAGATTTAACTAGTGAGAAATATATTCAAATAAACTATTTATAAGTCTTTTTCTGAAAATAAAAATATAAATGAGGTATACTTGTAAAGATCAGTATTTTGTAAGTCATTTACAATGTTGGATATTGATACATTTTTCAGTATCTGTAGATACATTTTATATTTTCATGAGTTTTGCAACCACAACGAAAAGGTTGCTTCATTAGCATATGAGTAAAGTTGTATTTGTATAAAGGGAATTAAGTAGGTAATTAGATTGGTTCTTTATAGGACTTTAATATCATTGTGCCAGTTCATTAACAGAATTATTTAGTTGTGGGATATGTGTTTTTAGCATTTATGTTAAAAGGACACTTTTAACTAGACTTTTTATATTGGTTCATTGAAGAGTCATAGCATCCTTAGATTTAATGCTTCAGCTTTTTTCCTCATGACATCCACATCATGTGTTAACTAAAGGCACATAATCTAAAGCAAAGCAGCAAAGCAAGGTGTAAAAATATTAAAAACCAAGAATGGTTAAATAGTAGTTAGCATATAGTGTGCATGTGTTGTGTGTGAGTGTGGTGTCGATAAGCCTTTGAAAGCAGGACTAGTATTCTGCTCATCCTTGTACAGCACCTAGCATAGTCCTTTCACCTGGTTAGGTGCTCAATTGATATTTACAGGACTGAATTTAACTTGACAGCAAGAATCAATTTTAGTGAATATTTGAAGTGCAGCCTAGCACATTTTGGACATACTCTAATGTTGTTAAAAATCAACTTAATTTTAGAGGTTGTCAAGTTGTAAAAAAGAAAATATACTAGGTTACCATCCTGTAGCTGCTATCAGCACCAACAGTACAGTCAAATTTAAAAGTTTATACTGTTGATGATTTTTGTTGCATCATTATTATGCTTACAGTTGCTGGAATAATCATAATTTATTTGCAAAGGTAATTTCTCCAGATATAAATTATTGAAATGATCATAATGTGTATAGCTTCAATGTTTCTGCAGTACACTTAGGATAGAATTTATTAATGTTATGCATTGCTAACTGAATGGTCTTTATGGTACATAACAGGCAATGAAATTTAGCTTTTTATGTGTAGCTTATACATGTGTATTGAATTTTGAATGACCTGAAATTTTCTCAAGTCATTGGTAATAAGTTGACTTAGACCAGCAATTTTCAACCTTTTTAATCTTACGGCACATGTAAACTTTTTCGTAAAATTGTGCGACACACTAAAAATACATATTTGCTGATCTGACAAAAAATGGTGTAATTTTGATTCATTTACACTGGATGGCTATTGTGTTGGCTGTTATCATTTTTTTATTTGACAATGTGAGGGAAAAGAGGTCAGTTCCCCTGACTAAATAGTCAAGTACTGCATGTTTTAAAAAATCTTGTGGCACACAGGTTGGAATCATTGATCTAGATGAATAGAAAAGTATTCCAAAGACAAAAAAGTTCTTTCTCGTATTTTCTTACATGATCCTTAGAAGAAACTTGCAAGGTAGTCAGGGCAGGTAGTGTGTGATTGCCATTTTTAACATGAAAAAAGGAGATTCATAGTAAATGTTACCATGATTACAGAGCTAAAAAATAGCAGAGCAGGTTCAGAAATGCTGTCTTCTAACTCTCCACCTATAGCTATTTGAACTACTGCAGTTGCAGTATTCATGTTGTGTTATTTGTGTAGTGACTTGGCCTGAAGTATATAAATCCCAAGATTTACTTTATAATTTACATTAAAATTTTTTTTAATGTTAGCCTGTTTTCATTATTTAGCTGCTGCATTCCTGCCATATTCTCCTAATCGGCCTGTGTTCCCAGCTATACCGTCACAAATCATCGTTGCTACCAGAATGAGCTTAAAACTCAAATCCCATGTCACTTTGCTTAAAACCCTCGAGCGTCTGCCCATCACTTCTCAGAAAACCGGGTTTTTTGTCAATGCAGAGCAGGCCCTTCATGATCTGGTTCCCACGCCGCCTCCATCTCCCAACAGCCAAGCCCCAGCAAGTGTCCTGCTGCTTGCAAATCCCTAGTTGTGTCCTGTTCTCAGGCCACTCGATCCCAGGCTGTTCTCTGCCCGGGCCATGCTCACCTAGGTTATTCTTTCTATTCCTTCGTGTCTGAGCCTAGAGGTCTCCTCTTTGGGGATGACATGTGAACTTCCTCCACCCCATTAGGTGAGCTTTGTGTCCTGCATCTTGGGCTTCTGCCATTGCACTTGTCATCCTTTGTTATAGTTGCTCATTCTTGTCTGATTCCCCTTCTAGACTCCTGGATCCTCGAAGGCAGAGGCTGTAGCTTTAATTTTTATTTTAACAACTCACATAGTGCCTGACATATAAAATATGCTGCTGAATTTAAAGTTAAATCCACAAATCAGAAAGACCTTTGTCAAATCACGTGTTCCAATATTAAATTTCAAAGACCATCGCTATCCTCCAAGAAGCGAGCTGTCCTGAGGGTTGTGTTCATGGATGACGTGGTGAGTGTGGATTCAGTGGGAAGTAAAATTAGTCTTCCTATCAGTGGGATTACAAACATGCATTGTGTTGTCAAGAAGTGACTTTCCAAAGCCTGTTACTTGCCACATAATATGAAGTTAATAAAGAATTGCTGAATACATGAATTAATGAATTCAAGCATTATGGAGAGAGATGACATATCCAGAGGAAGAGCCTTTTAAATTTGGCTCAAAGAACTTGACTGAACATTGAAGACCTTTCCATCCTCAGTGGGGATTAATTTAATTCTCTTTTACAGGATGTGTTGAGATAGTTCCTGTCCCTTTCCCCCATGAAACAACCTTAAGGGGAATAGTCATTTTCTGTTTCTCCTGTGGAACTCTCTTATTGGTCCTAACAGTTCAAGCAGGCTTAGTGATTGATACAACTGCCATTTATATGCATTTTACTGTGTGTTAGGCACTGTGCCAGGGGCTTTGCATCTATCATCTCACTGAATCCTAGAATACAGGCTCTGAGAGGTAAGTTGCCCTGTGAAGCTGGGAGTGAGGCAAAGGTTTGTCTGACTCAGGTCCTTCCTTCCATGCTAGAGTCAGAGTTGAGTAAGTCTTGAAAACAAAGCAGAACAGCTGGAGAAGCAGCCAGCAGCTGACATTTCTTTGGCATTACTGCCACCCTCTGGACTTCTTGGAAATAGCATGTATATGGCTGAGTGGGCTGATGAGAAAGTGAAAGTGAACTTTAATTTCTTAGCAGGGCTGTTCAGTATCCGTAGAAATCATGCAGCGGGTGTAGCAAGCATGAAGGCGTGTGTCGTCTTTGATCACGCTGTCCAGAATTGAAATCTGGGGGGAGAAGGTGGTGAGAGGAGGGAGTGTGGCCGATAGTCCTGCCTGAGGTCAGCCAACAACAGGCAGGTGCTGGAGGCCTCCTCTGCCCCTCACCGCGGTGGCTGGATTGGGTACTTGGCACGTGGGGGAAAGAATTAGTGTTTATTTGGGTCTTGTTCTGAGCCTCATTCACTCTGTCCTGCTATGTAGTTGCTTGATCCCTGTATCTTGGTCACAGGGAGGTGGTGAGGTCACTGGGCAAGTGTCACTTCAAAGGTAGGGAGGACCCGTCAAAGTCGGTGCCCAGCCATGGCCACATCAGCAGCTCCATCTTCCTACACCAAGCACAGGCCCCCTTCCCTAGTGCGTCACCGGGTCTTTCTAGGGACATGGAGGGTGTGTGAGGGGAATTCTTCCTCCCTTCAGTACTTCCTTCCAGGTGAGGGACCTGGATCTAACATAAATATCAGACTGGAGTTTGAAGAGGAAGAGATGTTACAAAAATGCAGTCACAAAGGATGAGAGGGAGGAGGTATATGGTTATATGTGCATGTGTGTGTGGTGGGAAATGGCTAAGTCTATAGGATATTCTTTTAAGTAAATACTTTTTTAAAAGTATTGATTTTAGAGAACTTGGGTCTAACTACTGGCATACAGAGATACCTGTTTCTCTTCTACTTTCCCCACCTCCCTGTTTCTGTCATCAAATTGTTTTCATGTTTATGGAGTCCATATAAGTAATGGTGATTTTGGTATTCTCACTGGGATAATTGAATATGCATGTAACATCAGAGTGAAAACTATGAAGTCAAGGTAGGTCCTGAATTAGGGTGAAATAGTGCATTTGTAATGACACAAGACCAGGCTGAGACTAAGAAGCTGTCATAGTTCTGTTATTTGTTTGTTATCCCAAAGATTACGCCACATTCAATCCTCTCTTTTCTACTCTTTGTACCAAGCCTTTCGTGAGTGCCGACATCCTTGAATTCTTTGCGATTAGTTACTGCTCACTGGGCAGGTGGTAGCTTGTTATGATGGCAAGAGGACCAAAGAACTCATCTATTTATTACTCAACAATAAATAGAGAAAACTGACATGCCAGTCTGGTTCTCTAGCTAATGACCTGATTATAGCACTGAGAGGTTTTAATTCAAAACCCGAGGCAGTATTATCCTGGGAGCCTGGCCGTGGTGGAAGCTCTGACTGTGTCCTCTTCTCCAGCCTTGGATTGACAGCCGTTGAGACGTGCCAGATACATCTCCCCTCTGGCATGCCGCAGAGCCTGACAAACCTATTCTAGTTCCCTGGGAGGCACAGTTTTACCTTGGTCCAAGCAAATTAGTATTAAATAATACAATACCATTTATAATTCAAAAATAACACATGAGCTCATTGGTCCATTAGCAAAGATAATTTTATCTGTTAATGCCCATCCTGCCTTCAGGCCCTGGAGAAGAGGATCCTGAAGGAGTGCAAAGCCAAGGTGGAGTTGAGGGTAATCCCGACGTGAAAAGGCAGTGATCTCCGGAAACAGAGGAGGAGGGCAGACTAAGCCTGTTCATCCTCCACGGGCTCAGAGCTTTGCCTGAGCCGTGCCGAGATCCCAGGTTCGCAACTTGACAGAAGTATCTATGGGTCTCTAGGGCGAGCGTTCAGAGTTGATTCACTGTCAGGCACTCAGAACTTAGAGCTCTGGTTACTGTTACCTCAGCAACGACTAGACCGAGGTCAGTGGAGGGTGCGGCGCGGGATGCTGTAAGGTAGCCCCCACTTCAGCCCTTCTGTAAACCAAACAGCAAGGTCCTCTGAAGTACCCATTATGCAGACTCAAGAGGGACCAGACTCAGATGGATTTACATAACTGTCACCAGGTATCCTCAAGGGCTCCAGCTCTAGGGGGTCATTCATCCCTTTGATGGTCCAAAACAGCCTGAGTCTCCTTCCTGTGTCCCTTGGAAGACATCAGTCTTTTCCTGGGTCCCAGAAACACTGAGCCCAGGGAGTGTTTCCACACGCACAAATCCGTACTGACTGCCCCTTGTCAGCTCTCCTCTGGGCTGCTGCTGCTGCTGCTGCTGCAGGCCTCCCAGCGGCGGCCGCCTCGTAGGCCGTTCTCCCTGCTTCTGTTCCTCCGCAGGTGTGCTTAGCCCAAGCACGAGCCTCCTGTTCACGGGTTACACTAGAAGGCACAGTCTGATACATTGCAGCTAAATATTTGCGGATGTGGCCAGAACACTACAGGACAGAAGAAAGGCATCCATGCTCTTGCTGTCAGTACACTGCTGCTTTGTGCAGCACCCCACCGCCCCCCGCCCTGGCCCCACCTCAAGTCCAGAATTCTGCCCGACCAGCTGGCCGCAGCCAGAGGAAGCAAAAACCAGCGATGGTCCCCTCAGTCTCTGCAGAGGTTCACTGCGCTCTTAAGATGGGCTTCACTAGCAGCTCTTGTGCTTGGATCCTTCCTGCTCGCAGGCCTTCCCTGGAAGAATGGGCAAGCACTTTAGACGTGCTTGACTGAAACATAAATGTGTTTCCAGAACAATGGGAGAACCTTCCCAGAGGAAAAAGTCCAAGAAACACACAAGAATGCAGAAAATGCTGTGATTCCCCAAATGGCTTTAATTTTTTGTTTCATGTCTGTTACATTGGGTCCTGGGGTTTGACTTTGCCTCTCCCTTCTTTTCTATCCAAGAAAACCTGATTTGGATAATTAGTCAGTCACAGTCTTCAAAGTCGATGTGTAGTCTGCTGAGTAAACTGTAGCCCTGGAATCTGAAATGGGACAAGAACAGGCATGTTTGTTGCTCATTTCTCATCAACACTTGATTTGCCATTGCATTGGATAGAACAAAGCAGGACAAAGTTTTCACTAACCAGTCACCCAAAAACATTAACCACCAGAGGAGTCTGAATCCAGGCCTGAGAGAAATTCAGAAAATCACATAAGGGCATGAGGCTCCTTTGATGAACTTGGAAGATCCTGTTACCAGGTCAACTTTCTGTAAATCACCTGAAGTCACCTCTAAGATTTTCAATGCTATAGTGATCAACATTGATTTTAGTTATGTTACCCCTAACGTTTGTTAGAAGGAAAGCAGAGTCTCACTGTACATTTTTCTTAGACTGGCTTTTGACTAGGAGCTGCCTTAGTCCTTTTAAGGGCTGCCTTATTAGCTGTGACCCAGTAGGTGGCAGTGTGCCACTCATTTTGGGACTTGGATGTGAAATCTACTTCCTGTAAGCTGTCATGTATAGAAGGGTGGCATGTTGTGAAATCATGACGTAATGTGCTCATGGATCTACTATATACATTAAAACATTAATAAAAATTGAATCTAAAGTATAGGAA